TGGCCCAATGTTACCCATACTCGTATGGCTTATCTAGATGGCCCTATGTTACCCATACTTGTACGACTTATCTAGATGGCCCTATGTTACCCATACTCGTATGGCTTATCTAGATGGCCCTATGTTACCCATACTTGTACGACTTATCTAGATGGCCCTATGTTACCCATACTCACGTGTCTATACACACCTCAGTGGCCCGAGTTTATTTGGATCAGCGCTTGCTTGTCTTGAAATCCCAGGGGATAAAACACACGCCCCCCCCCCCCCATTCAGCAGACGGGCAGGGCAGGGCAGCTCCCCCCCTCATAAATCTTTACACCTGCCTGATTATACAACGCGCGTCTGGGGTGGGGGTGGGGGGTGAGCACCCTGGATAATGGAGGCGCTCCTGACAAATTACCTGGGTGGAAATTTTTTTTTTAGTTAGTAGCTTGACGGGAGTCATGTGACCGGGAAACGGTGTACTTGTTTGAAGGACTCAATGGTGATTTAATGGCGGTGCCGGAAGACAATGACGTAGAACTGGGGGGGGGGGGGTAGCTTGCCGTGTAACAGACACCTTTTTACGCTGATAATCCTGATCATAATCTGTTTCGGGTAAGGAGGGTTGGAGGTGAGAGCTATTCCAATTTTAAAAGTTGAAAGTTTACTGTTGTCATGCCCCGTCAGATATTGGACCAAAAGATGGCATGTTTATAAAGTAAAAGTCTAAAGTAAACACGGCAGTTCTTTTGAATTTCATTCTGTTTAAAGTAATTTGTTTCTGTTTTGCATGAACACCATCTTAGGTGCTTGTTAATAATTCATTTTACAAATATATTTTTTTATACTTTCCTATTCTTATAACAAGTAACTCCACCCACTTTCACCATACCCTTATACTCACACCATTAACTCCACCCACTTTCACCATACCCTTATACTCACACCATTAACTCCACCCACTTTCACCATACCCTTATACTCAAACCATTAACTCCACCCACTTTCACCATACCCCAATACTTACACCAGTAACTCCACCCACTTACACCATACCCTAATACCTACACCATTAACTCCACCCACTTTCATCATACCCCAATACTTACACCAGTAACTCCACCCACTTTCACCATACCCTAATACCTACACCAGTAACTCCACCCACTTTCACTATGCCCTTATACCTACACCAGTAACTCCACCCACTTTCACCATACCCCAATACTTACACCAGTAACTCCACCCACTTTCACCATACCCCAATACTTACACCAGTAACTCAACCCACTTTCACCATACCCTATTACCTACACCAGTAACTCCACCCACTTTCACCATACCCTAATACTTACACCAGTAACTCCACACACTTTTACCATACCCCAATACCTTCACCAGTAACTCCACCCACTTTCACTATGCCCTTATACCTACACCAGTAACTCCACCCACTTTCACTATGCCCTTATACCTACACCAGTAACTCCACCCACTTTCACCATACCCCAATACTTACACCAGTAACTCCACCCACTTTCACCATACCCTTATACTCACACCATTAACTCCACCCACTTTCACCATACCCTATTACCTACACCAGTAACTCGAACCAATTTCACCATACCCTTATACTCACACCATTAACTCCACCCACTTTCACCATACCCCAATACTTACACCAGTAACTCCACCCACTTTCACCATACCCTATTACCTACACCAGTAACTCCACCCACTTTTACTATGCCCTTATACCTACACCAGTAACTCCACCCACTTTCACCATACCCTAATACTTACACCAGTAACTCCACCCACTTTCACCATACCCCAATACCTTCACCAGTAACTCCATCCACTTTCACCATACCCTAATACTTACACCAGTAACTCCACCCACTTTCACCATACCCTAATACTTACACCAGTAACTCCACCCACTTTCACCATACCCTAATACCTACAACAGTAACTCCACCCACTTTCACCATACCCTAATACCTACAACAGTAACTCCACCCACTTTCACCATGCCCTAATACCTACACCAGTAAATCCACCCACTTTCACCATACCCTAATACTTACACCAGTAACTCCACCCACTTTCACCATACCCTAATACTTACACCAGTAACTCCACCCACTTTCACCATACCCTAATACCTACACCAGTAACTCCACCCACTTTCACCATACCCTAATACCTTCACCAGTAACTCCACCCACTTTTACCATACCCTAATTCTTACACCAGTAACTCCATTCAATTTCACCCAACATTTTAAAATCCCATTTTCTCACTTTATAAGTTCCTCCTGAAGTTTAAAAAAAAAAAAAAAAAAAAAAAAACTTCTTATGACCAGCCTCCCTTAGTTTTAATATCCTGAAAATAAAACTTATTGGCATTCGCTGCTTCACCCTACACGTATACGCGGACAGAAGTCAAAGGTTAACTGCTGGGCCATGGGACCTGAATGTCTTCTGGCAACTACTATCCGCTACCTTTATACAGAGAAGTAACTCTCTCAGGGGAGATTATGAGTACCCTGGTTATCTTTTCGTGCGACTAGTGTGTGTCGCTCCTAAATTTATTATACTTTTTACCTTGGTAAATTAGAAATAATTGGTTAAAAAGTTGGGAGAGTATGTTTAGTTTTAATAAAGATTCCCCACTTTTTTACTTTCTCGTATATACGAAGTATAGAGAAAGTCTTGTAATCGTGCAAAAAAACAAAATCGAGATTTTTGCAAATCTCGACGTTTTGCATCTCACTGATACGGAAAAACATAATTTTGCAATCTTGTCCGTATGTCTGTGTGTCTGTGTGTGTGTGTGTGTGTGTGTGTGTGTGTGTGTGTGTCCGTGTGTAAACACGATAACTTGAGTACCGTTACAGCTAGGTTGATGAAATTTCATATATAAGTATTTAATCAAAATCGTAGATCCGTATCAACTTTTGAGCGATTTCCGATAACCGGAAGTGGTACTTTTCCTACTTTGAATTTTTCAAAAGCCTATAACTTGAGTACTATTTCAGATAGATAAATGAAATTTCATACGTAAGTAAAAGATCTAATTCTCTACCTTCTATTAAATTTTGAGTCATTTCCGTTGACTGGAAGTAGTACTTTACGCTACTTCCGATTTCTCAAAAAACTAATGTAAATTTTAAAAGTAATAATAATATTGCGCACTATTATGCGCTTTTTTATTTCGCGTTCACTTGGTGTGCAATTAATTTGTCTACGAGATTTTATTCTATTTTTAAAACTTTAAGTATTTAAAATGGATTAAAAATCATGTCTATAGCCCGAGTTCCCATCCCCTGTTATTTTATATAAGAATATTCGAGAAAGTTTAGGGGAGATCACTCCCGGTTTATTTTATTTTAAAGACAATCTATTCGAGTTTTGAAGCGTGTATTTTTAACAATAGAGTTTTGGAAATTATTCTTGTATAGATCGTGTTCAGATAGCTATAAATGTCATATGTAGCATAAAGTATTCTGAGAGGGAACACAAATTGCTGTAAATATATGGCATTCACATTCATACACCATTAATATACCACCCGCGGGGAAAGTCATATTGTTTTACTGACCAGCGTTTGGGTAGTGTCCAGAAACTGTTATATGAATACGTTATGTAATACCAGTCTGACACGAATTTGTTGTGAATATTTAAAGATTTCTAATTACTGCAACGACAATTTCCATACAACATGTCCATTCTAAAGTCCTCTGTTCCCTAGAGGTAGTCCCGATTTATAGCCAATGCTATGGCAATAACTTTTCTATGATCACTGTTCTATGTTTTCTTCGTTCGTAATTGTAATATTGGCACCAATCAGTCTATAAAATATCTTTGACCTCCTGCTCCTGTGGTCCGTCTAGAAATGACCTTAAACTGCCCATATGGTCCGTCTATAAAATGTCTTTGACCTCCCCTGTGGTCTATCTATAAAATGTCCTGCCCCTGTGGTCTATCTATAAAATGTCCTGCCCCTGTGGTCCGTCTATAAAATGTCCTTAACCTGCCCCTGTGGTCTATCTATAAAATGTCCTGCCCCTGTGGTCCGTCTATAAAATGTCCTTAACCTGCCCCTGTGGTCTATCTATAAAATGTCCTGCCCCTGTGGTCCGTCTATAAAATGTCCTGCCCCTGTGGTCCGTCTATAAAATGTCTTTGACCTCCCCTGTGGTCTATCTATAAAATGTCCTGCCCCTGTGGTCCGTCTATAAAATGTCCTGCCCCTGTGGTCCGTCTATAAAATGTCCTTAACCTGCCCCTGTGGTCTATCTATAAAATGTCCTGCCCCTGTGGTCCGTCTATAAAATGTCTTGCCCCCGTGGTCCGTCTATAAAATGTCCTGCCCCTGTGGTCTATCTATAAAATGTCCTGCCCCTGTGGTCCGTCTATAAAATGTCTTGCCCCCGTGGTCCGTCTATAAAATGTCCTGCCCCTGTGGTCCGTCTATAAAATGTCCTTAACCTGCCCCTGTGGTCTATCTATAAAATGTCCTGCCCCTGTGGTCCGTCTATAAAATGTCTTGCCCCCGTGGTCCGTCTATAAAATGTACTGCCCCCGTGGTCCGTCTATAAAATGACCTTGACCTACCCCTATGGTCCGTCTATGAATGACCTTGACCTACCCCTGTGGTCTATCTATAAAATGTCCTGCCCCTGTGGTCCGTCTATAAAATGTCTTTGACCTCCCCTGTGGTCTATCTATAAAATGTCCTGCCCCTGTGGTCCGTCTATAAAATGTCCTGCCCCTGTGGTCCGTCTATAAAATGTCCTTAACATGCCCCTGTGGTCTATCTATAAAATGTCCTGCCCCTGTGGTCCGTCTATAAAATGTCTTGCCCCCGTGGTCCGTCTATAAAATGTCCTGCCCCCGTGGTCCGTCTATAAAATGACCTTGACCTACCCCTATGGTCCGTCTATAAATGACCTTGACCTACCCCTGTGGTCCGTCTATAAAAGGTCCTTGACCTCCCCAGTGCCTACCGTGCCGGTACTTCGACCCCCAGCTGATGAGAGCCTATGAGACGCTAAAGTCCAGAGGCGAGAAGTTCCAGGTGATCTTCGTGTCTGCTGACCGCTCAGAGGAAGCCTTCCAGCGCCATGTTGCCGGCATGCCGTGGCTGACTGTACCGTATGATGACCCCAGGAACCAGGCAGTGAAGAAACATTTTGGGGTGGATGGTAGGTGGATGGGTGGTGGAGCTGGTCGGTGGAGGGAGGTGTGGGTGGATGTGTGGTGGAGCTGGTGGATGGGTGGTGGAGCTGGTGGATAGGTGGTGGATGGGTGGTGGATGTGTGGTGGAGCTGGGTGGTGGAGGGAGGTGTGGGTGGATGTGTGGTCGAGCTGGTTGGTGGATGGTGTGTGGGTGGAGGTGGTGGATGGATGTTTGGAAGTGTTGGTGGGTGAATGTGGGGTGGAGCTGGTCGGTGGATGGGGTGTTGGTGGAGGTGGTGGATGGATGTGTAGAAGTGTTGGTGGGTGAATGTGGGGTGGAGCTGGTCGGTGGATGGGGTGTTGGTGGAGGTGGTGGATGGATGTGTAGAAGTGTTGGTGGGTGAATGTGGGGTGGAACTGGTCGGTGGATGGGGTGTTGGTGGAGGTGGTGGATGGATGTGTAGAAGTGTTGGTGGGTGAATGTGGGGTGGAACTGGTCGGTGGATGGGGTGTTGGTGGAGGTGGTGGATGGATGTGTGGAAGTGTTGGTGGAGGTGGTGGATGGATGTGTGGAAGTGTTGGTGGGTGAATGTGGGGTGGAACTGGTCGGTGGATGGGGTGTTGGTGGAGGTGGTGGATGGATGTGTGAAAGTGTTGGTGGAGGTGGTGGATGGATGTGTGGAAGTGTTGGTGGAGGTGGTGGATGGATGTGTGGAAGTGTTGGTGGGTGCATGTGTGGTAAGTGTATGTGTGTTGGTGACATTGGGCAATGTGTGGTTGGGGTGGATGTGTGGTCGAGCAGGTAGGTGGATTATGTGTGGGTGGATATAGGGTGGAGCTTTTGTGTGAATGTATGATGGCAATAATGGATAAGTGTATGGTGAAAGTGGTGAATGCACTAGTGGACTCCAACTATGAAAACTTTTGACCCAGGCATTCCTATGCTGGTGTTGGTTGATGAGAAGGGGAACATCATCACCATGAATGGCAGACAGGCAGTCGCTGAAGATGAGAAGTGCAAGGTAGGACTATAGGACTTCTTTAGTAGGACATTGTCCTTCCTTTAAAACAACATTATAGTCTCATTATAACAGTATTTTAACAGGACTTTATGGCTTCTTTAAAAGGACCTTTAAGTTTATTCTCAGGATTTTATGGTTTCCTTAACAAAACATGACTCCTTATTAAAGGCTTACATTTATTTGTGTGTAGAACATAGATCTAATTGTTTCTGGGGATTTGAAAAAATCGGGTGATTTTTTTTTCTACGACATTATCCTGGACGTAATTAATCTTCGAATTAAATAGCCTGACTGAACTTTATTTTTTTATTATTATTTTATTATTATTATTTTTCGGTACAATGCAGGATCAAGCAAATCCTAATTTAATTTTTAAAATCTTTAAACTCTGCTTATCTCACACCCCACCACAACTGTTTGCTTAAATTACATTTATCCTCTTACCCCCCCCCCCCCCCCCTAGTGGTAGCTGTTGTTTTGAGACTTTATTTTGTGTACAGGATTTCCCCTGGTACCCACAACCCATCGAAGAGCTCACAGCTTTATCTTCGCTTCACCTGAATGAGAACATGTGTGTTATCTATTTCACAGGTATGTTGATCATACCTTTACTGATCATTTTTTTAATATGTTTCACTTTTTTTTTTCATATTTTAACTTTTTTGGATTGCCTGCAGCTTTAGGAATTTTAATATAAATATTTGTTTCGATTTGTTTCTTTTTCAATTGCAACTTTTAAAAGTAACCTGAGCACTCTATATCTAGGGTATCTAGTATCCATTTGTTAGCTTAGGATATCAATAGACCTTAGGCCTACATTGTATCAATAGGCTCAAAGCATACCTGAATAGAATTATTAAAGCCTAGCTTAAAAATAAGCCAGTCTCTAAAAAAGAAGTCTTTAAGCCTGAATGATTTTATTAATAGTCTCTTGAATATTTGATATGATCGGTATCAAGACCCTAAGACCTTGTCTCATTTGAAGTCCCAATATTAGCAGGCATTTGTTGACTCCACCCAGCATTGAAGTTTCCTGACTCCACCTAACATTGAAGTTTTCTGACTCCACCCAACATTGAAGTTTCCTGACTCCACCTAATATTGAAGTTTCCTGACTCCACCTAACATTGAAGTTTTCTGACTCCACCTAACATTGAAGTTTTCTGACTCCACCCAACATTGAAGTTTCCTGACTCCACCTAATATTGAAGTTTCCTGACTCCACCCAACATTGAAGTTTCCTGACTCCACCCAACATTGAAGTTTCCTGACTCCACCCAACATTAAATTTTACTGACTCCACCCAACATTGAAGTTTCCTGACTCCACCCAACATTAAAGTTTCCTGACTCCACCCAACATTAAAGTTTTCTGACTCCACCAATATATTGACTCTAACAAATGACTCCATTTAACATGGAAAATTTCCTGACTCCCGATGATACTACCTGATAATGACGATTCCTGACTCTACCTAACATCAAAGTTTCCTGACTCCTGATGATACTACCTGATAGTTTCCTGACTCCACCCAATACTGAAGTTCCTGACTCCACCAGTATTATTGACTCCACCTAATGTCTTCATCCAAACATTACAGTTTTCTGACTTCACTAGCATAATTGACTCAACCTAAAAAAAACAACTTGCACTGACTACACCATCCCCCCCCCCCCCCCTTCCCAACCCTCCTGTCCCTTAACCCCACTCCTGCCAAATTTCCATCCATCTGAGTCCACTTCCTGTCAACTTTCATTTAATCCTCCTCTGGGCAGCTGTCTGTTGCACATTTACAATTTCAATTTTCCCTTTCTTTAGATGCTGCTGAGAATGACCAGGGTATCATTATCATCTAGTTAACTTTTCAGAATATTTTGACCAATCAGATTACTGGGGCTCCAATCAATGTTAATTTGGTTGTTTAACCTAACAATTTTTTTAAAAATTGGGGGAAATGCTGTTTTAGGTTTAAAAACCTGTTTTTAACATTTGGTGAATTTATTTCACTTAAAATTATGTAAAAATATGTCCCTTGTTGATTTAAAATGGGATGTAAATAACTTTCTAATTGCATAAACTCAAAGCAAAAATGATTTACTTGTTCCTTATTCACACAACACTTCAGAAAACTGATTACTGCTCTTCTGAGAGGAATTTATTGCTGTTTTTTTTTCCACTAATGGTAACTATTTCCTGGTGGAATAGTTGGTAGTAAGCTTGTAATTATCTCCCATGATATGATGTCAGTCACTTAGAGTGCTCTGCCCTTGCCATAGATAAATCACCATTCATCACCTGAACAGATGTAGAGTTGCTAGTTTTTAAGTTGTACACAGTGTGTTGAAGTGGATTATTGTGTGTGCAAGGCAGTTGTAATATGTGCTGTTTCCATTGTAACATGCCTTTGATCCTGTTTCATCCTTGTTTTTAAAAATACATTTTAATTTGAAGGGAAGTTACAAATGTTATTTCTACCGCTTGAATTTGCGATACTTTCACATCAACATCTAGTATGCATTATTTAAAACAAGTGGCTATATAAAGATTGCTATTTCTAAATATATTTCTAATTGTTCTCAGTTTTTAAAAATGTATTACAAAAGGGTTTTACAAAAGGCTTTTTTTTAAAAATCAAAACTGGTAGTTATAAAAAAAAAAAAAATTTCATGAAAGGCTTATATAGTAGTTTACCTGGAAGATTTAGTTTATTTTTTTCATTTCATTTAGGTGAAGGCAAAAAGTTAACAATGCCAAAAATGTTAACATTGAAAAATAAGTTGATGAAAAAAAATGTTAATTTATTCTCAGATGGGACAGAACCTGGTCTTAAACAAGGGAGAGCAGTGCTGTCTGATGCAGCTAATAAAGAAGCCGAGAAAGGAGAAGAGAGGGACCTTTTCTTTTTTGTGGCAGGGGAGGTAAGTCCAGCTTATTCTATCATTTGAAGTAGCTCGTCGGAAAAACAACAGCAGGTATTTTTATAACTTACATCAAGTGCTAGTTCTTTTCTTATAATAATAGATAGCTTTGTTAAAAACAAAAGCAGATATTTACATAACTTACTGCATAAATAAATAGATGAGGCTGAATTATTAAAACTTTAACATTCTAAAAACTTAACAGATTTATGAATGTCTTGATTTTGGTTATTTCAATGATTCAACTGTTTGTGCTTTTGTGCTTAGGATGAAATCTCTGATAATGTACGAGACTTTGCCGACCTGGATGATACATGCCCTCTTCTGATAGTACTAGACAGCCCAGAACAGAACGTCTATATCTGCAACGAGGTGAAGGTCACGTCTAAAATAGCAACAGAATTTATTGACAAATTTCTGCGAGGGGAGCTAACCCCGGTCCCCATCACACCCCTGTGTGCTGATGGAAATCAAGCTTCAGCGATAATATAAAAGATCATTCTTTTTGTATTCTGGAAAGTTATCTTTCCTTGAATTTCCCAGGATTTTAAATTTCTTCAAATTTATTACAGACTGTGAAATGTGGATAATTAAACAATTGTGGAACTGTTTCATTTCTTAATATTTCAATGGAATATAATGGATAGTTTATTCCAATTTGGTTTATCCATAAAATGACAAATTATACAACTGCAACTATTTGTGATGTGTTTAAAATTTTCATGGGCAATTTTCTTTTATGTGATTAACAGAAGCAGACAACTCTGCTGAAATCTCCTTTCATTAAGAAGGGAAATAATTGAGGTCGAACTATAAACAAGGACCTACATTAATCTCTGGCTCACAAAAATCATTCATACCTGACATATTTAGCACATTTTTAAACGTTTCCATTTGTTCTAAGTTCATTTCACTCAAATTTTCAAATAGGCCTACTTAGATTACTACTTGTTATGTAGAGTATAATCTGAATCTAGATTTAACTTTTTTTCTATGTGTTCTCAATCAAATCTTCTTTTATTTCAAATGCAAAAACTAAACTATTCTTTAATCTTTTTATTTAAAAAGTTAAATGTTTTTTCTATACCTTCAAATGGTATTTTTTTACTTCCTGAATTAAAAATGAATTTTTTCAACATGTAATTAAAGACTAATTATAAAATGATCTTTTGCCTGACAACTGTTTTCAAATTGTTGTAAGTAGCTTTGTACTTTTCTGATGTTACATTTAGCAGTCCTGATTCATGTGGACTATTCAGTAATTTGTAAACAACAGTAGATTTCTTGACTTGTGTGCTTCAATGGGAATAAGTATGTTAAAGTTGTTACATTTTTTTGTACTTTAAAGCTGCATTAGTGTTGTGTATGTGCATTTGAAATGAGAAATTGTAAAAACAATGATCATGAATGTTTTATCGATTCATTAAATGTGCATGTTATTTTTACATCAAATATTTTAATCAGTACTTTGGAAATGTGTGCTGAGTTACTGCCCTTATAGCAGACTTGTCAGTGAATGGTTGCTAAGATAAACATGTCAGTAAATGGTTGCTAAGATAAACATTTCAGTAAATGGTTGCTAAGATAAACATTTCAGTAAATGGTTGCTAAGATAAACATGTCAGTAAATGGTTGCTAAGATAAACATGTCAGTAAATGGTTGCTAAGATAAACATGTCAGTAAATGGTTGCTAAGATAAACATGTCAGTAAATGGTTGCTAAGATAAACATTTCAGTAAATGGTTGCTAAGATAAACATGTCAGTAAATGGTTGCTAAGATAAACATGTCAGTAAATGGTTGCTAAGACAAACATGTCAGTAAATGGTTGCTAAGATAAACATTTCAGTGATATAGTTGTGTTGTCATGGTCTCTGTGGTTGCATGTAGTGATATCTTTATTTCTACATTGTAGTCTACGTCTTATTTTTTAAACACTGTTTTCATTATTTCCTGAAGTAAATGTCCATTTACAGTAGTTGCCAAATCCATTTTACAAAACATCCAGTCCATACTATTTTTTTAATATATATTATTTGTCCAGATTTTTAAAGTACACTTTTATTAATTCCTAAAGTAGAAGTCTGGTCTGTTTAACCACAATCCAGTCCATAACACAATAAGTCCAGTTTATTCAACATGTTCAGGCTTGGCACACATTTATTTCCGATAATATATGTCCAGCCATTCTAAAACATTTACCCTGTCCATACCACAAAGTGTCACGACGTCTATCTTACACTTTGTCATTACATTCAGTGTCCAGTCTATGTTTTTGATCATCTTCAGTCTAACATTTGGTGTCCAGTCCATGTTTTTGGTCATCAGTCTCATACTAGGTGTCAATGCTACAGTGTCCAGTCTTCTGTCTTACATTTGGTGTCCAGTCCATGTTTTTGTCATCAGTCTCATACTAGGTGTCAATGCTACAGTGTCCAGTCTTCTGTCTTACATTTGGTGTCCAGTCCATGTGATTGTCATCAGTCTCACACTAGGTGTCAATGCTACAGTGTCCACAGTCCATGTTTTTTTGTCATCTTCAGTCTTACAGTTGGTGACCAGTCCATTCTGAACTGTACATCCAGTTTGCATTTTTCATTCATATTATCAATAAACTGAAAGTGTAACAAATTTTTGCAGATTGTTTTTTTTTAAAACTGTTGAGTTTAATCTTTAAAAAATTTGTAAATATTGCATTTTAAAACATCTAGAAAATATTTTAAAACTCAACAGATAATTTAAACAGAATAAATTCAAACTATTTAGGAAAAATCTTATCTGCTATTAGATTTTTTTTTAAGTAGCAGATGAACGGGTAGGATGGTGTGGCCTAGCGATAGAGAGCTAGACTGCTAACCAGAGAGTCTCGTGCTCTAATCCGGGTTCAAATCAGTCCCTGAATTCACCCAGCACTGATGGGTACCTTACTTACGTTAGGGAAACAAAGGCAACTGGGCATAGTGCTGACCACATTATCCCTTCATATGCCGAGGTCTATGAATCAGATGAACTCTACTTCATCTGCCCCATGTGTCTTGGGCAATAATGGGATTAAGAAGAAGATGTACTGATTGTATATTAAACAATTTTTAAGTATCCATAAAACCTAATTTTAAATTTCAATGAACAAGATTCAAATGACACAGCTAGCAGTAAAGGAAATAACAGTTTGTCAACATTAAAAAAAACAAGTTAAATTATTTAACAAGACAGCAAAATTACAGGATGTCTCAGCAATTGTCATTTTGCAGCTCAAAACATTTACATTTGCATTACAAAAAATATGTATATAACAACATTTGTGCCGTTTGGAATAAGTAGTACACACTTCAGATTTGTTTTGGCTCTTTGCTATTAACATTGACAAAATAATAGTGGAATAGACTTACTTAACCACTATTCCATTAGTAATGAGTAAATAATATGTTAATAGAAACTTCTCTTTAGTGCCAACCTTTACTGACCCAGGAGTTTAGGTGTCAATTGTATGAGTGGTCAGGTACAAATTATGTTTATTGATGAAATACAAGGTATCTGAATGTTCACTTAATAATGTGGTATTAACCTTGATGAAATACAAGGTATCTGAATGTTCACTTAATAATGTGGTATTATTGTTTATCTTCATGAAATACAAGGTACATAAAAATTCACTTAACAAAGTGGTTTTAATCTTGCCCAAAGCTCTCAACTTCTGTTGATGAAGCATCAACCAGGTCAGTTTTGTCCATCATTGGCAAGGTCAGTCAACCATGGTAAAACAGGAATTTGTTAATGTTCAGCCCATTTTAATTGTGTAAACTCCAGACCCCTAAAATAATAAACAAAACATGACAAAAGAAACTGGATTCATAACACTATTTATTGAAGAGGTAGAACTCAAAATATAGATAATTAAAAAGATTTGTTTTGTTACCAATAACATCTGGACATGTTTAAGCAACATTAGATTAGTTGAAAATATTTTTAAACATATTCATCACAATTGTTTTACAAAAAAACTATCACATTTGTTGTTTTTTTTAAATCAAGTATAAAAATAACGGAATGGATTATGATATACATATGTAATTGTGATTGTTACAGAAATTTCACAAAATGTGAAAAAACCCGGAAGATTAAATTTTTTAAAAATCAAACAGATGATATTTGTAAAAAAGAAAGCGCAACAACATTCAGCTCAACAAACTCTTATATAGATAAAATTAGTAATAAATATTCAATTGGTTTGTTAGGTACATGACAAAAATGAAATTGGTTAAAACCATAGATAAAACTCTTGTCACGTTATAAATATTTAATAATAAATAAAAGTCTCCAACAGGGTTAGACGAGATCATTTGATGCCTGTAGTGAAACTCTCCCTGGATGCGAGGCTTGCGCTAGAATCAACTTTAGGCATGTCATAGCTCTCTGGCTCCAGAATCTCAATGATGTAAAATAATTTCTTTGCCCTGGCCCAACTGTAAGTGTTGTCAAACCTGACTATATCTGCTCGACAAAAGAGAAAGGTGAAAATATCTGCTCGACAAAAGAGAAAGGTGAAAATATTTGTTTGACAAAAGAAAAATGGGAAATATAATAAAAATCTGTGTCAACAAATCCCATTCCTAACCCCAACTATTTATATAATTCTCTTCATGGGGACAGTGCAGGACAAGACGTAGACGCACGCCGTTACTTCCCCGCTCTCCAGGCAAATCGCTACCACCCCCACCAATCTGGTGAGCTTTGGTTCACGATGAATGTTTACAATTGTAAAGCCAGGTTAGTGATGGCTATTAAAGTTAAAAAAGTAAAGTTTCCCTTTTAAACCTGACGGTCTATGGGGCAAGTGAAGTAGAGTTCACTTGTTTCTGTGACCTCGGCATATGAAGAGATAGTGTGGTCAGCACTATGCCTTTACTTTCCCTAACGTGAGTTAGGTACCCTTCAGAGTTGGGTGGACTCAAGGACGGTTTACTGACTTGAACCCGGATTCGAACTCGTTTATCTATAAATGGTCAAAATTATTCTCAATTTTGTTCCACAATCCCTCAACTAATAAAGTCTGGGTCAAAGACAAGACAAGAGCTAAATTAATAATGGGTGGTCAATTACAGGTTCCAACAATTTAACTAAATGGGTGGTCAATTTTTGTGGTCAATTTGTGTGGTCACTTACAGGTTTCAACAATTCAACTAAATGGGTGGTCAATTTGTGTGGTCACTTACAGGTTTCAACAATTCAACTAAATGGGTGGTCAATTTGTGTGGTCAATTAGTGTGGTCAAAGGTCCCAACAATGTAACTAAATGTGTGGTCAACTGTGTAATCACTTACAGGTTCCAGCAACTCTACACTGCAGCATGCCATCCTCAGGGATCATGTGACTATTAACCCTCTGTGAAGGAAGAACGTGATCCATATCACAAGCTTTCTGCCTCTTGTCCTCTGTACGCAGATATATACCAAACCCTATATCAAACCCGTCTGTTTTGAACTGCCACCTAAAACACATTACATTTATTTTTCTTTGATAATAATAAAAGAATGCAAAAAAAGTTGATAAAACTGCTATATTGGTTAGTTTTTCATATCTAGTTTTACACACACAAAAATAAATAAATAAAAAGCATTGGAATTAGCTGTGTTTTGTTATTTTTTGAAAATCCAACTATGTGCTGTAAAGAAAATTTGAACAATAGCTGGCCAACCAACCTTATTGCACTGCCTGGCTTCTCTATGACATAGTCAAGCTGAAGGCTAGAGCCTCGCCCTATAGAAACTTGTGTGAAACCAGCTAAATCTGTCAGGTCATTCTGTCTGTAATAGGACTGGGGGACTTCTCCTCCAGGGTTTATCTACAGATAAACATCAGTTTGTCAAAAATTAGGAGCAGCAGTTATTTTTTTACAATGGTGAACATAAACCTATGATAACTACTTAAAAAATTGGAAACAATACTTGCTACAAAAGAGAATTTATTTTTTAGAAAAATCTAACTCCAACTCTGGAACATACATTTTTTTAAACCAAAAATTAAATAGTAAAGTTTTTTCTTAATCCTGTTCGTGCCCAAGACACATGGGGCAGATGAAGTAGAGTTCATCTGATTCATTGACCTCGGCATATGAAGGGATAGTGTGGTCAGCATTATGCCCAGCCACCTTTGTTTCCCTAATGTGAGTTAGGTACCCATCATAGCTGGGTGGACAGGGATGTTCCACTGATTTGAACCCGGGTTCGAACTCGAGACTCTCCAGCTAGCACTCTACCACTAGGCCACGCCATTCCCAAAAAAGTATAGTAGATAAAGTTAAAAGCAGGTGTGTAGTACCTTAGAGGGACACCTGGGGTTACCATCTGGGTCAACACATGTACCCCCCCAGTGCTGAGGTAGTTGATCTGGGTCAATGTGATGTAGAAGAACTTCTCTAAAGTTTGCTGCAAGATATTAAGTTGGTACATTTAAGTCAATGTGAAGTAGAAGAACTTCTCTAAAGTTTGCTGCAAGATATTAAGTTGGTACATTTAAGTCAATGTGATGTAGAAGAACTTCTCTAAAGTTTGCTGCAAGATATTAAGTTGGTACATTTGCGTGAATGTTTTTTTTTAAACTCTTTAATAACAAACATTTAAAAGCTTCGTTTAATTTTTGTCTCCTGATAGTGGGTTGCTATCACCAACTAATGATCTTCATCTTCCCAGGGGTTCAGGAACTGATCACAAACTGATAGGTTAGCACTCATGAGCTCTTCCACACAACCATGCCATCCCCAAGTGTTGTTTCAAAAAACATTTTTTTTTCAGACAAAAATAACAAAAGTTATTTAAAACTACATTAAGAAAGCAACAAAAAAATCTACTTACACCCACATATAGTAACTTTTCTGTGAGTTTCCTCACTAAGAAAAGGTCGTAACAAGTTGTAAGCGATTGGGAAAATTTTGGGAGCTGTAAAAAATTAAAAAGTTAATGTTCAACAACATTCTTCAAAATACAAATTTACGGAAAGTAAAAAAAAAATTTTCTTTTAAAATTTTAACAGTACTAACCAAATTTATTAAACTGATTGAAATTCAAGAATGCTGAAAGTTTTTCACTGAATGATATTACAAGAATAATGTTCCACTAATTTAGTTAACTAGCTTCATTAAATACAAAAATATTAGACAATGTGTAGATTTTCTAAAAACATACCATTGATAACGAAGGTCTTCTTTAAAGTCTCTGGGTAATGGTCTTCAAAAGTGGCCACAATCTCAGTAAACACATCAACACCTGGGGGAAATTGGTTGAAAAACCTGGGTCAAGCCAGACCTAGCAAAAACAGCACTAAAGTTCAATCACATGGATTGTTGTATTGAATATTCATCATATAAACCTGAAACTTGCATTATAAAAAGCCTTTAAACTGTTCTATTGCTGCTAAAGTTAAGATTGCTGCTTAATGGTATTGAGCTCACCTGTTTTTTGTGCTCACTGTGTATAAAAGTATTGTGTGATCAGTTAAAGCACATTATAGCAAATTTTATTTTTACTGTGTTCAAGTATAAATAATTGGTTAAAACATTAGGATAAAGACAATAACTACTGACCAGGCTTCCATAAATGTTTTAGCCCAAACTTTTCCAAATCAAAGATAATCACCATCTGGTCTACCCGTCGACCTTGCTGTATTTGAAAAGAAAAATTTCTAATATCAAGGAGAAGCTTTTTATTTTATGCTTTAAAAAATTAAGGTGAGACTTGATTTTATTCTAACAAATCTGTAGAAAAATTTGGTGAATTTAACATGATGCTTGCTTCAACTTAGCATTTAAAAGAAAAAAAAATGTAAATAACTAAAAGCCTTAACAGATAACAATACTATGACAATTATTTAGTTTAAATCAATAAGAACTAGTCACGGGTAGTTGCAGGACATGCAAGCCTAACCTGTTGTTACTTTTTAACATTATTAAAAACAAGATAATCAAAGTCTAGGAATTCAACATCTCATTTCTTCAAATACTTGTTTCCCAGTGTGGAGAAGGTTAAATTTCAATACAAGCAGCATCACTGAATTTCTTCATGACAACCGTAAAAAGAAAATAACAACACAACTACCTCTTTAGTCTTGAGCTCAAACAACCTGTAAATTTCTTCCAGAAGCCAAATTTTGCTTTTGATCACATCCTGCTTCCTCATCGACATCAAAATGCCTGCAAAAAAATGTGAGTTTTAAAACCAGCAAAGTTGTTAAAAATGTTAAAGCAACAGCTGTGACCATTTTTTATTGCAAGAACTGTTAGTAATATGTAAATTTAAAGCATAAGTAAATAATAAGTCAATGCAAATGTTGAAGACATATCTAGCATAAAATGTTTGATTCTATTTGAAAATTCCGTTTTATTAAAATAACTAAAACACATTTAAAAAATCAACAACGGGGAGTAACCTTTCATATCAATATAGCCATTGGGGTCAATCCACAAGAGTGCTCCCTCCTTGTCCTGACCAAACAAGCCACCAGTGTAATATTTCTGCATGACTTCTGGAGGCTCAAAGTCTTCTAAGATGGTGTCCACATTGTTCACAGCTCTCCACTTAATGTGCTGAAAAAAGAATCATCCAGTTCTCAGATGTCAGTTACTACAAGCAAACAAACAAAAATAAGGGGTCGGCGTGGTCGAGTCGGTAAAGCTCATGGTTGCTAAACCGAAAAGTCTCGAGTTCGAACCCTCGGGCAGATGAGGCTCGTTAGCTAGGGACAGCCACTCTTCTAGGAGAGACAACTCCAAAATTAAACAACTGCTGCCTTGTAGTTTGTTCTTGGTTGGACAAAGGCTATGGAAGCAAATCCAAAAAGAAAAGCAGTCTGAAATCGGAGTCAATGGCCTCAATGGCGCATAACCAGTTGACACGTAACGCTTAATTGTGTTGGAGGCGTGGTCGAGTCGGCAAAAAGCTCATGGTTGATAAATTCAAACAAAGTCTCGAGTTCAAACCCACTGGCAGATAAATCTCATTCCCCTTCAACACTAAAGAACGAAGAAGAAGAAGAAGAAACAAAAATATTTATATGGTGTCTACATTGTTCACAACTCTCCACTTGATGTGCTGAAAAATATAATCATCCAGTTCTCAGATGTCAGTTACTACAAGCAAACAAACAAAAATTATAAGAATCATCCAGCTATCAGATGTCAGTTACTACAAGCAAACAAAAAAAAATGTACAAGAATCATCCAGTTCTCAGATGTCAGTTACTACAAGCAATTAAACAAAAATTATAAGAATCATCCAGTTATCAGTTACTACAAGCAAACAAACAAAAATTATAAGAATCATCCAGTTCTCAGATGTCAGCTACTACAAGCAAACAAACAAAAATTATGAGGATCATCCAGTTCTCAGATGTCAAGCACACAAACAAAACTAGTTTTAGCTATCAAACAGCAGCTAAGCAAACAAAGTAAAATGAAACCAAAGAGTTTTTCAATCTCATTTCATATCTCACTCTAGTGTTACAAACATTTCAATACTACAGTATACCAAAACATTGTAACAATAGGGTAATACTGTAGGGAATAATGAACTAATCTATGACATAAAGACAACTAAGTAAGTCACCCTAACATTATTGCGTTAGCCAAGAAGACGTCATCAATTTTCAATACTTACATTTCTCAACATAGCTTCAGATTTATTCAGATCAAACTTTCTTGCTGAGGAAAAAAATAATTATTTAAGTCAAATTCTCTAGCTGCGGAAAAAGTAATTATTCAAGTCAAATCTTCTAGCTGAGAAGAAAAATGCTAATAACAAATGTCAGCCTTCAGTAGTTTCTTAAACTGTATGCTATCAATGATATTAGACAAGTCTATAAGTCTCTGTTGCACTCATTTAGTCTAGGATTAAAATTAATATACTAAATCCTCAGATAGTGAATTTTACATAACTTGTAAGTTATTATTTCCAATTTCCAATTCTAATTTATACTAGGCCTGTAAAAACTACAATGAATCTATCATTCTATGCACAACAATTTAAAAAACTTAATGTATAAATCCAGACAAATATAATCCACACGATATTTTTAAACTTTCAACCAAAGGATAAGAAAAACCCTAACAATGAGACCAAACTTAGCTCAGACAATCTCTAATGACATGTAAAAGCCACATTATAAGACTTCTTTATGTATATAATACACATATGCATCAAAATGTATATTTAATTTAGAGCAAATGGCATTATTATGACGTGTTATTCATCGCTAATTTCTAACCACAAAATCTTATTTAAACTTACCCCTTAGCCAGCGCAGTAAATAATAATCATCGTGGTGTTCTTTTAAAATATCTTGCACATTCTGTCTAAACTGTGAAATAAAGGTAAAATTTATATCAACATGACAAAAAAAAAACTTAAATGTGAAATTAAGATTTTGGTCTAATTAACTTCTATAGAAACAAAGAAAATTAGTTTTTAATAAACTAATTAAATTTAATTAGATAAAGCCAGTAAGAAATGTACCTGTGCCAAGCAGGCTGCTTGTGATTCGCTAAGATTGCCAACGTGCCCACTCATCTTGAATATACTGATGTTTAAAATTTAAAAACAACTGAAAATTTAACGAAACAAAAAGTTTATATTTTAATATAGCTGAGGGAGGCATCCATAGAAATTATAGATGATGTCACACTCCTAGGGAGAGGGGTAATTTTGTGAGTTGTGTGATGAGGGGAGGGGGATGTTCAGATAGTGTTGTCACACTTTTGCATTTTGTAAAAGTCATGTTGGAAACTGAATTTTAGCAGTATATCACATTGTATACTTGATTTAGTATAGTTCTACAGTCTATAGCAGCCTAATATATTTTTGTGTGTATAAAGACCGGGTTTTGGGATAAAATACTCAAAAACACATTTTTTTCTGCTATAATATTAGAAGGGTGTCTGGCTTTTTCTGATGATATTGAATCATATTGGCGCGTGAAGGTGGGGAGGGGATGTAACAATCATCAAAACTGTGACAACATTTAGTCATTTAATACATGTATCATTGTATAGCACCCTGCCCTACATGTCATCTTGCAACTTACTTAGTTAAACTAAAATAAACTTAGAAACTAATTATATACTTAGCCTATTAGCACTAGATACTTTACTAGATAGGGATTATTTTAGATACCGATGTCCGATAATAATAGACTCTTCCATAAAATAGGTTTGTTGTAAATGTAATCTCGCGTATTTTATGGTTAGAAATTAGGGTTAGGCGTATGGTAGGACTATGGTTGGGGTTAGGGACAGGGTTAGCATTGACTAGCCAGCCATCACTTAGACTTAGTTAACTACTAGATCTAGTAGGCCCTAACCTAACACCCCCCTTTTTTTTTTAAAGAAGATTGATTCTATTATATCGGACACTGGTATAGAAATTCCCCCCAAAAAATTAATCTAAGTAAACTACTAGATCTAGATTTCTACTTACTAGTTATTCTAGATCTAAAATAATCTAGATCTAAATCTACTCTAGTTAAATCTATAGTACACTAGCACTAGTAAACTAGACAGACACAGAAGTACCAGATCTAGATTCTAGAATAGACTTCGAGAGAATGTTTATACCGGTGTCTGATAATGGAATCTTCTTTAAAAAAGGGGTGTTAGGTTACTGGTAGTTAACTAAATACACACATGGCTGGCTAATGTCAATGCTAACCCTGTCCCTAACCCTAACCCCAACCCTGGTCCAACCATACGCCTAACCCTAATTTCTAACCATAAAATTAGTCGAGATTACAATATTTAGATCTAGAATCTCTAGTACTAACAACCCAACCAACACCCCTATTTTAAAGATGATTCCATATTATAATATTATCGGACACTGGTATCTATCTAGTATCTAGGCCTATAGTTAAGTATAATCATCCCACTTTTTTAGTGTCTAGATTTCTAGATCTAGATCTAGTCTTCTGGTCTACTTACTGAAAATTTCTAAATTCAGGGCCGGCTTAGTCAGTGTCAGTGTGATGATGAGTGTGTTCAAGTGTTGTAGTTCTCAGAGTGGTCTTTCTTTACTTTGTTGTAGATCTAGATCTCCTGATCTAGGTCTTACGTAACGCGAATAGCTCATAAATTATAACATTACACCATCACACATGGTGCATTTTATAGGCCCAGTTGCAATTCAATGTATTCTACAAGTGTAGATCTACAGAGATAAATAATATTTTTTTATTGTGTTTATTTGTTTATCTACTCGTTCGATCGGTCACTGACCAACCAACATAACATTTCGGCTCTTGTGTGGTTTCTCCAAACACCGAGACATACATTTTGTAGCCCAGCTAGTTGACACAATTTACTGTAACAAACAAAAGAAATCAAGTAAATTTAAATAACGTTTTACATTACGTTAAGAAATTCTGCTGGTTCTCGAAATAATTCCTGGAGTAACATAAACCAAAACTTATAGCAGCAGTCTCCGATATTTTTTGTCACTAGATGCCCATTGATCATTGAATAAACCGTCAAAACGCCTCATGCCTCAAAAGCCATTGGCTTATTTGCACAGTCATCTGGTTTTCTGTATTCTTCAAAAATTTAGTTTACGGCTTGACCACTGTGATCTGATGTTGGGCTATAAGCTTGACCATTGGGATCTTGCATTGAACTAGCTTGACCACTGGGATCTAGTGTTGGACTAGCTTGACCACTGGGATCTGGTGTTGGACTATAAGCTTGACCACTGGGATCTTGCATTGGACTAGCTTGACCACTGGGATCTTGCATTGGACTAGCTTGCAGAGTTTCTTCCAGGCATCTACCGCCCCCCCCCCCCCCTCCCCGAACGAAATGAAATTTATATAATTTATATAGAAAATATATACTTTTAACAGTGTCCACCCCCCCCCCCCCGAAGAAAGTCTACCGCCCCCCCCCCCCCCCCGAAAATGTTGAGTGCTCCCCCCCCCGGAGGAAAAAGTCTGGAAGAAACACTGCTAGCTTGACCACTGGGATCTTGCATTGGACTAGCTTGACCACTGGGATCTGGTGTTGACCTTATAATTCTACCCCGCTAACAGAGGTAGATACGGTCCAATGGGGTGTAGGACAAAAGGCCGACATCCAAAAGGCCGTATTTCCCGTCAGCCTTTTGTCTTGTCGGCCTTTTAGCTGTCGGCCTTATTTCCTGTCAGCCTTTGGTGTTGTCGGCCTTATTTCCTGTCAGCCTTTTGTCTTGTCGGCCTTTTGTCCATTTCGGCCTTTTGTCGGGATCCCGGTTCAATGTACACAACAACAAGACCAGAAGTATTGAAATAGTCGCCTTATTATTATAGTACAATCTTTTTGAATGCCATATTTTATTAAATGCAATGTACAATGACCGATAATTAAATCGACGATCTGCAGTTAAAATTTGTGTCTAGCTTAAAGAAAACATGGTCTGGCAGAGGTCCTTTTGTAATAAATCAGTTTTCTCCCTGATGTAACGAATTTAGCAGAATAACACAGATGTCCATGAAGATGTACTAGATCAGCTGATCTGAAAGTGATCCACTAGCTTCCTGCTAGAAAGGAAATAAAAGAAGTAACGATGGGGCTTTATTGTGCAGGTACTGTAGATTCCAGGTTAAGGCTTGCGGGCTTCTTGAGTGTGTGGCCAATCCATCTCCATTTTCTCTGCATCAGCTGGTAGTTAGTTTTTCCCATAGTACCTCGTTTCCGAGTATGTGCCTGAGAAAAAAATTAGAAATTAGGTGAAACCCACGGAAGGCAGAGAATTTGCGACTGTCCCCACAACAAAAAATGCAAACATTTAATCAAATGGAATATCCCAGGACCTCAAAGCGGACTGACATTTTAAACATCGCGTCTCGCCATAACCTGGCGCTCCAACAGTCGCCGTGAAGGAAGAATGTAATACACGCGGTGCGTCATAAAAGATGAAATAATTATGTTAACATAAAGTTGACATTACAAATATGGCTGCTGACAAATTCTAGTTTGTTACTTTTTATGAAAGGCGTTTTTAGCGCAATTTCCATTCTGGAGAATTGCGTTTATTAACTCGTCATTTCTGGGAATGGATGGATGAATGTATGGATGAATGAATGTATGGATGAATGTGTGTCCGGGCTTTAAGTCGTATCTCCTCCTCAACGAAGCAATATCGATGACTAGTTCCAAAAGCAATTATGTTAAGCAAGTTACGAGAATGAACATAGGCCATAAAAATTCCGGGTTTCTTTCATGTATTTCCCGGAAAAGCCAAAAAACCTCGAAAAAATTCAGTTTTTGGCCCATATCTCGGCAACCAGACCACCTAGCGACTTGAAACATGTACCAATCGATTCCTGCCATAATTTAGAACAATATTGCAGAAGAAAGTTTTCAAAAATATCCTTTCGTTCGGTCACAAAAAAAATTTTGAATTAATTAAAATTTGGACCGAATTAGTAGGCATTTTATGCAACCACACCACACGCGTCATCACGTTCAATAGCTGCGCCATCACGTTCAATGGCTGCGACGTCACTTTCGGTAGCTGGGCGCGCAATGGTTTTTAGTCATGTTACTCTATTGTAAATAAAACATGTAAAATACTGAAAAAAATTAATAAAAAACGTTTTAATAACTAACCAATGGTTTTACTAACCCTGCTCTTGATTTACGCTACGACAGAGCTATTTTTAGATAACATAAGGAAATTGCGCTAAAATTGTCACTAGACTTTTTAATTACCTTGTTTTCTTACCTGGCATTTTGAGCTTGTTTTGGGGTGGTGGAGAGGGCTAGACAGTAGCATCTTACATTTTGGCCTTTAAACGTTTTAAAATGAATATCAATAGTAAAATTATTTGTCATATTTAAAGACCCTCCCCCCCCCCCCACACACACACACCAAAACAAAAAAAAATATTAAAATAAAGTTGTAATAAAAAGTATGATCTCATATATGGATGACCCCTCAGACGTAACAGATGTGTTGGTGTATTCCAAATATTTCTACATATCTATTGTACATATTTCATACTTTAAAAAAGCGTTACATGTTATCACTTGGTGACCTATAGAAACCACGCCAAAGAAGAAAAAAATGTACCGACAGGCTCCCGCCGTAATTTGACAAACATAATCACTAGCTTTGAACTCTGACCCCAAGCCTGAATTACTTTGTGAGATGGCCGCGACCTACTCGTTCCCAGCGGTTGTAGGTGAAACCGGGCGTCTCCCGGGGGACTGGTATGACGTCACAGATCAAGGCCCGTGTGTTATACAGGGCGTCCCCCGGGGCCCTTATGTGACGTCACAGATGAGGGCCCGTTTGCCAATATATTTCAGCTCTATTGTTGGATCCACTCAGATGTTGCCAAAATAATAAATATAATGTTAAAATATATATAACCTATTACACTAGCCTACATTATGCTAACGACAAAGGAAGTAATCCAAGAATTCTAATCACTGTTTTTTTTCAGGCCTCTCACACCTCTTCGTGGGCGAACGAAATAGAATTTATTTAGAATTTTGGGCAAAATGTGGAATTTCCTTATTGGTAAGACATTTGATATCCAAACGTTGTAAAACGAAAGAAGAGATGCAAAGTAATCAATAATCATCGATAAGGATTTGTACATGTTTTTCAAAAACAAATTATTTTTAAAAAATGAAAGAAAAATTACAATCCTAACGTTATGTTAGTTTAGGGTTAGGTTAAGGTAAGGCGTAGGGGGTAAGACTACGGGTATATTGTTAGGTGCAAGGTTAGGGGTAGGGCTACGAGTACAAGATTTATTTTAAATAGTCTACATATTTAAAATTAAGTGTACCTCCCACCCACAACACATACATATAATAAAATGACTATCATAGTTGTGACAATTGATGTGGACGAACGTGTTTTTCGTTTCGTGATTTTTAATTAAATTGGTTTCATTTAACTGATTCTTAAGTCTTACTTCAAAGTCGCGAGATTAAACGCACAGCGAGATTCAAAAATATGTTGAACTAGCTACTGTAACAGAAGTATCAGTGTTTCTTTCAGACTTTTTCTCCTGGGGGGGGGGGGAAGCCTGGAAGAAATTAGAATTCAAATGTATTTAAACATGCTTTTGTTGTTTAAACTAAAGTACTGATAAAAAATCGAGGGGAAAACATGTTGGTTGGATTGATTCACTGGATAAAATATGCGGGTCAAATTGTGCTGATGTGAGGAAAAAAATAGTTTTAAAGAGAAATAAATAAAGGGTAAAACAAAATCTATTTTATCTCACATCAGGTTAACTTACCCTAACCTAAACCCGACATTTAAAATATACGTTAGATGCCGTAATGATAAAAGCCGCGATTAACTTCCGGACGAGTCTATTGTAAATGTAGGGGAGCTTTTATTTGAACGCGGTTAACTGGGTCCCATCTAACTGGACCAGACCATCTCGCTAATGATACAATTATTGCTGGGGCAGATTTGTGTGTGAAACGTTTCCTATATATATATATATAAATATATATATACATATATATATATATATATATATATATATATATATATATATATATATATATATATATATATATATATATATATATATATATATATATATATATATATATATATATATGAATTTCTCGCATAGTTTCTTCCAGGCATCTCTTCGGGGGGTGGGGGTGGGGGGTGGGGGGGGGGAAGGGGGAAATTTATATAGAAAACTTATACTTTTACCAGTGTCCGCCCCCCGGAAAATGTTGTCCGCCCCCCCCCCCCCCCCCCGAGAAAAAAGTATGGAAGAAACACTGATTTCCCGTTCTTTTTCGCCAGTACAATAATTATCGATTTGTAATAAATAGGTTGTGTTTTGGAACTTATTGCGATGATAAATTATCTCAACTACATTCTGCTAGGTTGTGTGTATAATAAAGTACTCCTATGTTGGCTCTCTAACAGAGCACTGCTAGGTTAAGTTTATAACAAAGTACTGCTGTCTGCCTTAGGCCCTTATATCAAAGCATTGCTAGGTTGTGTTTTTGTAACAAAGCACTCCTGGGTTGGTTGTATAACAAAGCACTTTATGCAACCGTCGTGATATTTCAAAGTGATTTCCTTTTCGTTTTCTCGGGGTAAACATCTATATATATAATTCTCTTCTGGGAGACGCTAGAAAACAAGCTGTAAGCGCGCTCCCTACCACCGCACCCCTACATTGTCTGGTGAGCTGTGTTCACGCTAAATGTTTACATTCCTAGAGCCGGGTTTAGTGACGGCTATTAGGGGCAGATAAATTAGTTTGAAACGATTTTAAACTTAGGGGAGGTAACTAAGAGGAGGCTGCTTTCACGGGGGGGGGGGTGTAGGGTAGGGGTTGGGGTAAAGGAGGGTGGGGGTAGGGGTAGGGGTTGAGGGAAAGGAGGGTGGGGGTAGTATCGTTCTTAACGACCTACTGATAGTGTTTTAAAGCAAATATTTTCAGTGGCAGCATTGGTACTGTCGAATTCACAAATTATGAATTACTGAAAAGTAGAAAATAAAACAACTAAAAAGCGGCATATGATATGCCGCGGGTCGGCTCGTACTAAATAAGAGACTAATTAGCTTTCAGTTTAGGCCAGGGGTCGGCAACCTTTTGAAGCGGAAGAGCCAAAAGTTACGATTTTCAAAATTTCCCTGGTTTTAAAGAGCCACTAACATTTTTTTTAGGTAATCTATCGTTTTGGGTACGTAAAATCGCCCGCGGCTATTAATGTACGAAAACGTTACCTCAATGTCAAGGCTGTAATAGAACTTATAGAAGAATATTGTGATATGTTTGTGTCAAATATTATAGATAAATGAATAATAAACCTAAATCAATGGCTAAATACATCAATATAGGCCAGAAATTAACTTTAAACAGCAGTGTCTGCCTGCAAGCAAGATTTGCTATATAAACATCAGCCATTTATAAAATAGAGTGACTTCCGCCTGAATCTTGCGCTTTAAGTCTATAAAAATAAAACTTTAACAAGATGGCTGCTATAGTAAATGAGCATGGTTGCATCTGTTGAAAACATCGCTAGTCTTCATTTATTACTGAAAAGTTTTAATTCAATTGTTTAAAAACAGGTACATAAATGAAACAAGGAAACATTTTTGTATTTTTAAAACATAAATCCTCCTCAAAATGTGAAATAATTATTAAAATGTAAGGAGTCACCTGTTTTTCACATTATTAGTCGCGGGCGATTTTACGTACCCAAAACGATAGATTACCTTTTTTTATTTCAAATATCTTATATTTTTATTAAGATTATTTGTATTTGTTCAAGGAGCTGGAGAGCCGCATCTTGATATCAAAAGAGCCGCATGCGGCTCGCGAGCCGCAGGTTGCCGACCCCTGGTTTAGGCTCATGAAAAGGTGTAAATTCTATTTTAATGACTTCTAGTCTAGGAATCAGACACATTGTAAACTCATTTTTTTTTGTCTTCCAATATAGTCACCTGAGAGTATCTTTTATGGCTTCTAGTCTAGGCACCTGAAAAGTAAAAACTTTTATGGTTTTAGGTCCTGGAATATAGACAAGTTGTAAACTCTATTTTATGGCATCTAGTCTAGGCACCTGAAAAGGTAGTATACTCTATTTTTGTTTACCTGACATAGCGGGCTCCAAAAATTTTCTTACCGTGTCTACCCGGAAAAGAAAAAAACCCAAAAGATCTTAACGATCTTCCTCAAACGCTTGAATTATCTCTTTTAATGAGCGGATGCGAGGGAGGTTATATTTGGCATGTCTCGGAGCTCCGTTTTGATCCATTTCTAATGTAGGGTGTTGTTTTTAACTTTCCAGATAAGTTCACTTTCCTTCAAAACTAAATGTTTCATTTTCAACCCAACTAAATATCTCTTTAGTAATAGAAAGTAATTTTAAAGTTTACTACATTCAATAACTTTAGGGGAGAGAGCTAGTTGTAGAAACTAAATATCTCATTATCAACCCAAAAAGGTATCACATTAGTAATTGAAAACTATTTTAAAGTTTACTACATTCAATAACATTAGGGGAGATATCTAGACTGTAGCGATTATTTCATCAATCAAGATAGCTGAATTTTCCGATCTTCCCAAACTCGAAAACAAGGGGAGATTATTGTACAATACCTCATGCAAATGTAAAGATTTCTAACTAATCGCTTACTACTTTTTAAAATCCGATGGCTTTACATAGCAAATAATATATTATAATATATAAATATATGTAACTTGTAAAGCTGACAATGGCCTAGTTGTTAGCCTTTAAAAAGTCTTTTTCCACGACTCTACTGCAAGAAGAAGTTGTGACGTCACGGCTTGACCCCATTGGTCTAGCAAATGTTTACAGCTGTTGTTGATGGAGATATATATGGCAGCTCTTTCTTTATGGGAGGAGGGGAGGGGGGGGGGGCTCTCTCGAACACAGCCTAAGTTGGTGGGTTGATGGGCAGTTTGAAAGAATATTAGTTGAGTGGGTGTATAGGTGGGTTGGTGAGAGCATAGGTGCGTTGGTAGATGATATGGTTGGTAGGCGGGTGGGTGAATGGGTGGGTTGGTTAGTGAGTGGGTAAATGGGTGGTTAGATGGGTGGGCTTATGGATGAGTTGGTGTGTGGTTGAAAGAGTGTGAGGGGAAGTGAATGTGTGTGGGGGGGGGGGGAGGGGAGCTCGTTAGTTGGGGAGCATGTGTTGGTGGGTTGTTTGATAGATGGGTGAGTACACGTTTAAACGGGACGATAGTTTTATACATTGATCGGTAGATAGGTCGATATGGAAGGGTAGATACGTGGATACGGATGGATGGGCTGTAGGCAGTGTTTCATTCAGGCATCCACCTCTGAAGGGAATAGAAACATATCCAAGTTAATAGAAAATGTATACTTCAACCATCATTCGCCCCCCCCCCCCCTACCAGAAGTTTTGAGTACCGCCCCCTGCTCTTTAATAAAAGAAGATTCTGTTTGTTTAAACTACAATGTTCTTTAAATCCCAGAATAGCAATTTGTTTATCTCAGTTTGGCTCTGAAGATAAGGGTCAAGATGCTACAACCGGCAGGGTCCACAGCAGATATCTCATAGTCCACGCCAGATATCTCGTCCACAGCAGATGCCTCGTCCACGACAGATATCAGTGAGAGGTGTGATTAGACCATCACCCTGTGGGCAAAAGATTCAGTCTGTAGGCTACTCATCGATAGACCAGGATAGTTTTCAGAAACAAATGACAGCTTTGTTTTCTCTTCTTGTTATGTAGCGATTGTCTGCACTTTTAAAATAAATGAACATGCAGTAGGCCTTCACGTCTCTTTCGCTTTCTCTTACTCTGCTCTCTCTAGACTTTGTATATCAAGTTGTATGTATTTATGTTTGTATGAATATCTGTATGAATTTATATTTGGTGTATGTCTTGGTTTAATAATATGGATGCCAAATCGGATTAGATTTAAATCCCAAACACAGCCTTAAGATTCACCAGGATCCTAACAAAATAGCTGACGACCAATATCCGCCTTTTCCCACTTTAGTATTAGAAACATAAATACACTTCCCCAACAGCAGCAGATGGGTTGCACGTGCCAAAAAAAAATCGAAGCAAGAAATAATCGTATATTAATTGTTGATTAGAAATTAACATACATTTATCAATGAAGAATATGTTTCGACCGTTTATAATAAGCACAAAATAAGGAAACTGTTAAATCGCCGAAACTCAACAAATTACGGCCCCTTATTTTTAAAAAAAGATAAAGATTGTGCGAGTTATTGTTACTGTCGATACCGCAGTATCGATACTCTTGGCAACGTTATCATGTTATGTGCCTAGGCAAGAGTGCGAATAATTTAACAGCGAATTATTTTTATAACCGAGCAAAGCGTGGGGAGGCATCATTTAATTAGACGCCCCCGCGCCCCTGTACTCAGATGTGCTCCCCCGGGGTTTTGACCCTACTTTACGGAAATCGCTTGAAAGTGCAAGCGGGATGGTGTTTTTTAAAATCTAACTGAAAACATAACCCAATGCTAAACATAGACCAAGTTCAGACCCAAACACTCAACTTTATATTACTTTACCAACCATCTGACATTTTTTTAAAAATTGGAAATTTGTTATCGGATACATGTGGGAAAACCGCTCACAATTTTTTTAATTATTTAATCCTACAGATTTTATTCGTGATTTCTTTTTAGTTGGATAAATGGCAGGTGATCCAATACTGTGGATATGCATTGAAAATGGCAGCTGATCCATAACTGTGAATAAGATTTGAAAATGGTAGTTGATCCATTACTGTGGATAAGAATTTAGAATGGCCTTTAATCCATTATTATGAATAAGAATTGAAAATGGATTTTGATCCATTACTGTGGATAAGCAATCAAAATTATCCTTGATCCATTATTGTGGATAATAATTGAAAATGGCCCTTGATCCGTTGCTGTGGATAAGCATTGAAAATTACAGTTAATCCATAACTGTGGATGAGCATTAAAATCCCATTTAATCCATAACTGTGGATAAGCATTGACATTTGAGCACCATGAATAAAAAAATATTTACATCAGTTAAGGCCGACAAAATGTTGGTCAATAAAAATATGACAAATCGTCTGGGGTGCATTTTCTCACAGCAGTAACGGACAATGGATTCTTCCATAAAATAGGGGTGTTAGGTTGTCAGTAGTAAAATAGGGTTAGGGTTTGTGTTAAGAAAAGAGTTAATGTTGACGTAAATTTGTAATAGTAGTTTAAAATACAAAGCAAGCAACCTAATAAGTTGTTATTTAAAGGAGTTTTAGCGTTATTATCAGTTTGTAATTAATTTATAAATACCCTCCACCCCCATTTTAAGGAGGGAGAGTGGGAGCGGGGTGGAGGTGAAGGGCCTGCGAGAGTGCTTAGCGAACAAACTGGTAGGTTGAACAGACCCCGGCGTAATCTGAAGGCCACGGCGCAGACGATATTTTTGTACCAGGTCAGCCACAGTTCAGGGGGAACAACCGCGGTGAGCAGCACTCAGAGTAGCGCGCACAAGATCCCTAGTTAGCTACTGTACACAATAAGGTAGGCCATTTTGTTTTCACTTTTTGTTGCCGGTTATTGTAAATTCACAACTTTCTCTTGTAATATTAACGAAACAATTTATTCATTTATAATTTCAACAGCGAAGTAGGATTGAAATAGCTGTAACTTATTGAGTTTGAAGCAACTTAATTTAAATAATTAGTTTGTTGTTTAGTGGTATATTATTCGCCCGGGTAAAAAAAATAGCCGACGATTGCATTTCATATCTTAAGTGTCTTAAAGTGTGAAGGAAATCGAGTGCGCTGTAACGGTGACCCCGAGTAAGGGGACGTCCGTAAACGATGTCACTCTCATGAGAGACAGGGGTCCAGGGTTTCTTTCAGACAGGCTGCTCCAGAATAAAAAAAAACTTCCGGGGAGGGGGGGGGATGGAGCGGGCAATTTATAAGAAATATTAATTGTTAAAGTATGTAGGCCTATATTCTATTTAAATGTATTTTTTTCTAATTTGAATGGGGGTGGGGGGGGGGGGCAGTGGGCATACTCAGAAGGGGTTGTGTCGAATAAAGATTGACGTCACACTTTCGTATTTAAAAAATATAATTAAATCAATTTTTATTTTCCAAATTAGAAGTGGGATTTATGTGTGTGTGTGTGCGGGGGGGGGGGGGGGGGGGAAGGGGGATAAATACAATTCTTGACAAAGCTAAATTAATAGTTGAATAGAAATCGTTGTTAAAAAAACGAAAATTATAGTATCGTAAGGAGGAAGCCAAAGTGTGTCACCAGTTTGGGGGAGGGCAGTGGCGTAGCGAGGTCCGCTATGGTGTCACCCGGTGCGGTCCGCACCCCCCCCCCCTCTCACTACGCCTCTGGGGGGGGGGGATCTGACCTTTTGTGATGATATGTAATAACTTGTGTACGGGGTTTGTACACATGTGTGACGCCTGTGTTTCACCTGACGAATGAGCTTAACGTTCGTGCATAACATGTCTTGTCCAAGATCTGTGGTAAAAAATGGCGTGTTTAACATAAAATAGTACCCACAAAAATAAAATAAAATAAAAATAAACACCCTAAATTTTTAAAATATGTTCAACATATATGTTAAATACGACTTTATTACAACACATATCGATCTCAAAGCTACCAACAACACTACTATATTATGGTAGCTGGTGACCTCACATTTCGTACAGAGTAATCGCCCTTGGGTGCATTAAATTATTGCTTTGCTCAGAGAATATTTGAGTGAGGTCAAAGGTCGGTGTTAATGTCAAGCCTTTTTGGGTTGAAGTGGCGCATTGTGGGTCGGACGGTCTTTAGCAGACGATCTTGACATGTACGTGTTACTAGTGTCGTTTTGCACGTTTGAAAAGTTAGAAGCTGGCGCCGGTAGATACATTTTACAGAAACAATGAGTACATCTAAATATAACTCTCCTTTTAAGGTCGTTCACTATCCTGCGGTACCGAATATTTGTGATATTTAATCATCGAACTGCTCGGAAGCGTCTAAAAAAAGAAATTGATACAATAATTCGAAACGGCTTTTTCAACGAGTTATATTCAATACAAAAATATGAAAATTAGTGTCATCGGTGTTTCCCAAAGAGTTTTAATTTTTTAAAATGTAACTATAATTTTATGACTTGCCATATTTTTATAAAGATTTTTTTTAAAAATGTATTATGATAACAATGACTTTTCAAGCCTATTCTCGCCGTTTTACATTTTCCCGAGTTGAGAAAAAAAATTGTTTGCAAAACACCCTTTGCAAATGACGTCACGGATCAGTCACCGTGTAAACACCCGCCATATTGGATCCGTACACCATTCGAAAATGGTTATTTCGTCCATATGAATGTGTGTAAACGTACGTACCTTTCATTAGGGTGGACGAAAGTACATGCATGAGTATGACACGTATACTAAGGTGCCTTAGAATTTTCGAGTGACATCCGATATCCGGAAATACTTTGCTATTAGTTCCGTATTTTAGTTGTTGTTTTTAAATACCGAGAACTCAGTAGCCTACCCTTTCAGTTAGGCGGAAGAAATTGCATATATTATAAGTACTTGTCCATATTCGTAGCTTTATTTCCGCTTTTCAGCCATTTCCGGTAACAGGGAGTGGTAGCCTTACTTTACTCTTTTACGGTTTCTCAAAAAAAAATAATGTGATTACAGAATGTGATTATTTTACATATTCTCATAAAAAACATATTTACCATTTTTTTCTTCTGTTTGTATTCTCAACACAAATAAAATGCTACTGAAGGAAGTAACATACCAACCCATGCTGTTGTTATATACGAATATATGAGAAAGTTTAGGGGAGCTCACTCCCAATTTTTGTCATTCATCTATTTTAAATATTATTTTCACAATTTCCGAATAGCTTTCAAATGTAACACAATAAGTTAACGTAATTAAATTGACTGAAATTCGTTTTTTTTTCCTCAATTTTCCTGAAAATGTAAACAAATTAACCAAATTGCGTTGCCAGAAAACTATTGCACGTCCTATTCTTCTTTAAACCATTCTATTTTCGCCACGTTCTTTGTTTATGTTTCTGTCTCTCGTGTTGATCTAATGAAGTTTATTTGGGAAAAAATATTTCACTTTCAGACGTAGAGATAAACAATCGTGAAATGAGTTGCCACATTAAGGCGCACAGAAAAATTGTTTTAAAAAAAACGTTAGCGCCAAACGAAACGAACGCATAGGAATGTTTTTTTACACGAAAAAGAGTAGAAAAAATATCTAGGAAAATAAAAAAATTAATTGCTAAAGAAAGTGTTTGCTCATACTACATGAGTAGTTTTTAACCTTTTTGGAGGCACCGAACCCTACCCGTTTCATACCGTGCATTCACCGAACCCTCCTGAATAGCACTGATAAAATCCCTTTTGAATTATTTGTATCTTGACCTCCACCGATCCCCTGAAACTAACTCGCCGAACCCCTGGGGTTCGATCAAACCCTGGTTAAAAACACTGTGCTAAAGAAGACGTGCTGTAGTTAAACTATCTGAATGGTGTTTAATTATGCTGCGTTAAAAATATTTTCCAAACCTAACGTTTAAATAAATACGGATGTTACATCAAATCATATTTGTTTAATTGTTAATCGATGGAGGGAAGTCTCGTTAAACCATTATCGTTTAACGCTTAAAACATCAGAGGGATGTCAAGTTAAACATTTTTAACGCTTAAAACATCAGGATGTCAAGTTAAACCAATATTTTTTTAACGCTTAAAACAACAGAGGGATATCACGTTAAACAAACATCGTTTGAAGTTTAAACAACAAATGATGTTACAGTTTTTATCACTATTAAAAGTTCACATCGACCTTGGTTTGCTACTTATCGCTGTCTAGACTTGCAGTATGATGATAAGACTTAAGACACAAAGCTTAAGAACTGGTGGCTCTCAAACTTTAAAGTTCGGGGCCTTAACAAATCTAACACTTTCTTATTTATTACATGCAGAATAGCCTGTAGTAAGGGCCAACACTTTGAGACTCACGACGTTTCATAGAGACTATACGTTCATTTGTATGGCGAGAACCTTTGTGTATATGTTTTAAGAGCCCTTGTGTACGTAACACAAAGGCTTGTGTGTATACGTAGTGAGTACGTTTGTGTACACGTCATTGAGAACGTTTTGTACACGTCATGAAAATATTTGTGTACCCGCCATGACAACGTTTTTGTACACGTGGTAAGCCTTTGTGTACACGTCATGAGAGCCTTTTTGTGTACCATTCAAGAGTCCTGATGTGTACGTTAGTGACCTCATTATAGCCCAAGGTTCCCTTGTTCCTCTGTTCTCTCATTATAGCCCAAGGTTCCCTTGTTCCTCTGGTCTCTCATTATAGCCCAAGGTTCCATTGTTCCTCTGGTCTCTCATTATAGCCCAAGGTTCCACTGTTCCTCTGGTCTCTCATTATAGCCCAAGGTTCCATTGTTCCTCTGGTCTCTCATTATAGCCCAAGGTTCCATTGTTCTTCTGGTCTCTGGTTGAAGTTGAACCGCCCCCACATATCACTAGCAGGAAACCTTAACCACAGCCCACCTAAACCTATCATCGTCTGGAATCTGAAATCATTCCACAGTAAATATGACATGCGTTGTTATATTGTTTTTTCTTAAAACGGTTTTTATATAACTGTCGTATTCATGCATTTTTTTATTTGATAAATTGGAAATACAATCGTTTGTGTTGCAAGTAAGGTAGATTAAATAACCCATGCATTTGTTATTTTAACATTTAGCAGTTAGCATCATCGTTCTTATGTGTCAGTAGCAACTTTAAACCTTAACCAAACCCTTGACCTCAATATAAGACTAACCATTAACACTAAAGGTTGAAACTAATTTATTGAAGATTTCGACTACACGAAAAAGTTAAGTTAAAATTATCATATTACAGTAACTGAATGCGTGGTCGAATTGTAGAGCGTTTGCTATCCCGAATGTCTTGAGTTTGGATCTTGGTTTGGACTTGTGACTGAAGGACGTCCCCGAGTCCACCCAGCTCTGATGGGTACCTGACTCACGTTGTAAGTATAAGCGGCTGGGTATAGTGCTGACCACACCATCCCTTCATATACTGTGCTCAAGAAACGTGTGGGTCTCTAGGTTTAAGAGGACCATACTTTTTAAACGCGTAAGCGATGAAGTATTTGATCATGTTATCTGGATTTATAACAACTGCCGTTATTACTTGACTATCACAGAGATAATATTTTGTTATAGGAGACAGTGCTATCGAAGTCCTGGAGGATTTAAAGTTAGGATCAGTGTCAAGGACAGGGTCAGAATTACGGTTCAGGTCAAGGTTATGCTCATTGACAGGATTAGATCCGGATTAGGGTAGTGATAGTAGGAAAGTAGATTTGAGACGATCAGCTGTGTGTTTTACCGGTACTGGACATTAAACCACTCCTACCACCCCACCCCCCACTGCACACACTTTCTTACGTGGTCTATTATGTCTACCTTGTGCTAGTTAGCCAACTGTAACCTTGATCTAAACCTTATCGGTGGCCTTACGTGTTCTATTATGTCTACCTTGTGCTAGTTAGCCAACTGTAACCTTGATCTAAACCTTATCGGTGGCCTTGCGTGTTCTATTATGTCTACCTTGTGCTAGTTAGCCAACTGTAACCTTGATCTAAACCTTATCGGTGGCCCTGCGTGGCTAACGTTTGATTAAAGTCCAGATACCAGCCCTTTCCCCTGCACTCAGCGGTTCCAAAAAATGTTCAGCTTTCGCTCCTTTTTTAAGTTTCTGCTGATTTTCGGGCTGAAACTCTCGTCCCATGGGTTTACCCTCGCCCTTCCCCAGAGGCGTAGCGACCCCTCCCGGCGCCCGGGGATAAACTTTCACTTTGCCCCCCCCCCCCACGACAAGTATTTTTAATATTTATAATTCAAAACTGCAGCTAAAATGAGCTTTTGATTTTTTTTCCAACCCATTTTGTAGGGTCGGCGCCCGGGTACATATGTACCCCCCCCCCCCCCCGTCGTCGCTGCGCCTCTGCCCTTCCCTCAATAATAGCTGGTGCTATAGTTTAGGGATGATGTGACTGCTGGTGCTATAGCTTATGGATAATATGTTGGTGCCAGTGTTTCTTCCAGACTTTTTTCTCCGGGGGGGCACTAGAAATCTTCGGTGGGGCGGTAAACTTTCTTCGGGGGGGCGGACACTGTTAAAAGTATATATTTTCTATATAAATTATATAAATTTCATTTCGTTCGGGGGGGCGGTAAAAATTTTTCGGGGGGGCTTCGCCCCCCCCCCCGAAGAGATGCCTGGAAGAAACTCTGGTTCGTGCTATAGTTTAAGGATAATGTGATTGTTGGTGCTATAGTGTAGGGATAATGTGATAGCAGATGCTATAGTGCAAGGATAATGGGATAGTAGGTGCTATAGTATAAGGATAATGGGATAGTAGGTGCTATAGTATAAGGATAATGGGATAGTAGGTGCTATAGTATAAGGATAATGGGATAGTAGGTGCTATCGTGTAAGGGTTAACAGTGAGTATGTGCTTCACGATAGTCATTTAGATATATCATTACACCTATTCTCTTTAGTTAAGGAACATGATAGTGATGTTATATAGGGATTGTGTGATACATTAAGTTGATATATAATATAACATCTAAGCAGTTTGTGTGTTCTTGTAATACATACACACATCACTTTTTGTATGTTTCTGTACACATTGGTAATGGTAGCGTCCACAAAATTTTCCCAAAAGCTTAAGTTTCACAAAATGCGTGTTTCTGTATCTAACCAATCTAAGCTGATCTTATGGAGAGGTCTGGTTCCATATCAGTTGATCGATAGGTACTGACGAGTTTTAGACGGGGGTATTGTTGGGATCGATCAGCTTCGGAAAAATGATTTTTAATTTTTTTTTTTTTTTTTTAATTCTTCGAATTTGAAATTTTACATTTTAGTGGGTTTTTTTTTTTTTTTTTAATTCTTCGAATTTGAAATTTTACATTTTAGTGGGTTTTTTTTTTTTTTTTTTTTTTAAATTTTACACATTTTTTTCATTTTTTTTCGTTTTCTTTTCCTCCATTCTTAATTTCATTTTGTTCGTCTACTTTCAATATTTTTTTTATTTTACGTGGTTTGGCGTTTAAGGGCGAATTTTTGGCTTTCAATAATGTTCCCGTTTGAAATACACTTCTGCTCTACAATGCTCAACCTTGACCTTATCGATTTGACGGACATTTTAAAATTGCCCCACTCAGTGTTCAATCACTGCAATGGCCGCTAAGGATTCAGCGGAAGTGACGTAAGGAACTTGATTTACGATGCTTGTCTGGCTTTAGCACTGTTAGATACGTATCTGTAGTGGTGAACACGAAGTAAACACTACTTCGGAATTTGTAGTCTTTGTATAGAATTTTGTTTTTCATTTTTGTTTCGTAAAACTAGGCTTGGGGAAAAAAATGGCACGCGTTAATGTTTTCAGTACATACCTACGTACCTATGTTTGCTTCTTCGTTTAAAGATATTTGTTTTTACATTTTAATACAATTGAAATTAAATATTTATTTTATAAGTCTTTCAATGCATAAAAATGCATATGAAAGTAGATATAAAGAAGAAATATTTTTGGAAAGAACTAACACATGAAGGTAGATATTGAGAAGAAATATTGTTTTAAAAAGATTTGACAAATGTTAGTAGATATTGCAAATAAATAGTCTTGGGAAGATATCTACACATGAAGGTAGACATTGTGATCTATAGTAACTGACGATGTGAGCAGTTTTAAGTCACTATGGCGGGTACTCAATGACCACAACTCTTTTACTCAGCTATGTGAATAAGAACATCAACGAGTTTACGAAAATCCTTCCATCATTATTGTTGACGGATAAAAATTTTTGCTTTTTTGTTAATGGAGACAAGCGAGTTGACCAGATTCCTTCCATAGTGTTGTTGACATGGAATAAAAACGTGCTTTTTAGATTTAGACCGTAAAAAAAAATAAAAAATAAAAACTTAAGCCTAAAATTAATTTAGAAATTTTATATTTTTAGAATAAATCCTATAAAAGTTGCAAATCCAGAGAACTTGAAAATAATTTGTTGAGTTTAAGGCTACATCTCTATTTATTTTCATCAAGCCTAAGTTATAACCGGATGTTTCACTTTCGTAAGACAAATATTGATTGGCTGTACAGTAACTTAGTGATCGATAACTATTTGTTTACAAAACTTTGCAGATCAAGTTTTTAAATAACAATGCAAATTTAAAACCCCATGACCTAGTTTTCTATTTTTAGCTTACAATCTAATATATAAAGCTCAGTTCTGTATGTAATGCATATGTTTGTCGTTGGTCTTGGAGGAATTTAAGTGTTAGAAAATTATCGTGCGCATTTGTCTAAATTTATGAGCTAAAAAATTACTATTGAAAGTGTTGGGAAATTATTTTCATTTTTCAAATTATAGTAATAATTGTCGGCATGTTCATTAAACACAAGTTTTAAAAAAATATCATCTTTTACAAAAATTCTAATTATGTCTTTATTTAGTCCTATAGCACTTACTTCCCTTTGATAAATTAGGAAAACAAAATTACTTCCCTTTATAAAACCATTGCATTTTGTGGAAAATAATTTACTTTTTAATTACTTTGTTTTGGTGTTGGGAAAAAAAAATTACATAATTAGCGGGGATTGATCAAGTGCAAATGTTGTAGGTATTTTACGGATAAGCTTGGAGTATTAAAATTGTTCATTAAATTGAAACAGGCGCGTTCGTTTAAGTGAGTGCAAAAGACTATGAATAAGTTGGGGTACTATAGTCGTTCATTAAGCTAAAACAGGTGATTCCGCCCCGGGCGTTTATGTTCGCGTTAGTGTTTTCTTTGTGTTTAGGTGGGTTTGCGTTAGTGGTTGCGTTTTGATTTGGTTCGTTTTTGTTCTTTCTTTTTTCGTTTTTGTTTGTGTTTTTTCTTTGGGTTTGTATTTGTGTTTTTGGTTGGTTTTGCGTTTGGATTTGGTTTGTTTTCGTTTGCTTTTTCGTTGTTTTTTTTTTGTTGGTATTGGTGTTTGTGGTTGGGTTTGTTGTTAGGTTTTTGTTTTCGTTTGCTTTTTTGTTTGTTTTTTCTTTGTGTTTGTATTGGTGTTTGTGGTTGTGGTTGGGTTTGTTGTTAGGTTTTTGTTTTCGTTTGTATTTGTAATTGTGTTAGCGTTATGTTTGCGTTTTGTTGTTTTGGTTGGTAGTGGTTTGGGTGGGCAATGTCGGGTTTATGATGATTACTAAACACACAGGTAATGGTCTTTAACAGAAAGATTTTTCACAGAAGCCAGAGCAGGGCCTGGCCGGGACGGCTAGTGTGTACAATAAAATTTATCTCGGCCTATCCAATAGCAGGATGCCATTGTTTATGTCGCCATTACACGTGAAAACCAAATTGTTTTTGCTTTTTTTTTTAATTTTTATTTAGTTACCGAAAATATTAAAAACATCAAATACGTCCAATCTTTAGTAAAGTCCGAAAAAAACCGGACAGACAGGATTTTATAACCATATTAATTGTAACTACGCCGTGCAAGATTTTTAAATTAATTTATGCACCTCTCAAATACCTTTGAGACTTTTCTCGCTTTTGTCCATTCTGCCTTCATACTGGCAGTTAAATAAAAAATTAAAGTTATTCTCTTATCTCCCAGTTACCCAACGCCCAGTTGTCCATCGCCCAGCAGTCTTTAAGTCAATACATATGTTATTTTTATCTCACTTACAGAATGGCTGAAGCTCTGATAGGAAAATGGAGATACGAATCCATGGAGAACTTGGATACTTACATGGATGCTATTGGTGAGTGGGTTCTCTTATACTCTTCGACTTTTCCCTTTTGTGCCTAAGACATATGAACAGATGAAGTAGAGTTCATCTATTTCAGTGACCTCGGCATATGTGGGATAGTGTGGTCCGTACTATGCTTTGTTAGTTTCTCTAACGTGAGTTAGGTACTCATTAGAACAGGGTGCTTTCAATGACGTCCTATATAGTCGAGTTTGGGATCCGAACTCTAGACTTTCAGGTTAGCAACTGTATCAGGGTTCTGTGGTACAGATGTATAATTGTATGATATGTTATTGCTCAATATATATTAACATATTATAATTTATATGTTATATATTGGGCTACCGTATTTATAACTTTTCCATAGACCCTCTCTTAATATTATATAATTTTACAACCACACCCACCAACACACACATACACACACATTGTAAACACCCAGACAGACCATGATCACTTTTGGTACAAAAACATTTTGCTTTAAATATTCTGTTTTTACTTTATTAGTTAAAACTTCTGGGGAAAAAAACGTAATTTTAAAACTTTTAGTCATTAAAAAAAATGTAATTATCTTTTTTTTTTACTATTGGCATTACCTCTACTTTAAAGAACTGATGTTATTTTTGAGATGGAAAGTACAAGTCGTTAGTAATTTTCATAACTCAATTTCCTTTTTTTTTTGTCACCCAAAATTATGCTGTTCTCAACGTACTAGAGAGTACGGAGAACGCCAATGGTTTATTACATCATAGAGTAACCAGACACTCTTGTTTTCGCAGACACGTTGGAATCGTAGCCATGTCAAAATTTTATTTCACTTTTTAAAAATTAGGCGAACTGTTAATTACTGGTTATTGCGTGCAACCAATGCATCAACAATAAGGGTGTTGCTAACTAATTGTAAAAAACAAAGCCGAAATTAATTTATTTTGTCTAGGTATCAAGGTCAATCAATAATTATTGAGGTCAAGGTTTCCGACCTTTGCTAAGTCTGCTGTCCAGTTTCTCAATAACAGCAAAGTTTTTGTTTTTTTAAGTAATGGAAAATTAAGTGTTGAGATCAGCATTTTTTCAAAACCTTAACAGGTACAAGTGGGGGGGGGGATGGTTAAGGCACAAGGAAACGGGTAAATTGTGGTTGGGGAATGGGGAGGGTAGAGGTAAAGTTTAATATGAATAGGAGGTACAAGGGTAGGTGAGGTGGGTGTTTCAAACATAAAGTGATATCAGTTAGGGTAGGTTAGGTAAATAACAAGTTGGGTGGGGGTGGCGGTATACGTGTGTTGAAGGCATTATGGGATATAATACATTGCTGGATAGATGTGGTACGTGTGGTGAGAAGGGGGTCGTTTTATGGACATAAAGACATAATATTAAATAATTCATGAAAGGTATTGCTGCTATGAGACATACAATTATTATTGACAATGCAATCCTATTAAGTGTATTCTTCGCTCAAGCTGGTGTATGCTGATGAAGGCCTTAGGTCGAAACGTGTGTTATAATTATTGGCATAGTTATTACACATTCGAAATATTGTGTTGTCTGTTATTATTTAAATATATAAACAGGTGTGGCGTTCGTCCCCCTAAATTTACTTATAACTTGCTATCCAACAACACAACACCCCCATCCATTGGAAGAGTCTATTTTCCATGAGTGGTTGATAGCGGAACAGTTAAAATTATTGGAAGGGTCCATTCTCATTGAGTGGTTGACAAGTTGGCAATTGTTTACTTTGGAAGGGTCCATTTCCCCCTTGAGGCTGAGGTCACGTGTCAAGTGTTGTTGTACACATTTGAACACTTGAACACACCACGAGAAATTGTGTACACTTGTAACTGTATTGTGGTGTTAGAATACATAATGCTTCACTTGAAACCGGGTTGCAGACTGACATTTTTATATTATGTACACACACACACACACACACACACATATATATATATATATATATATATATATATATATATATATATATATGTATATATATATATATATATATATATATATATATATATATATCCTGTTTCGGCCAAGGTAATCGACACTACCAAATAAAGCTCTAGACTAATAAACCCTAAAAAATTTCCTGTTTTTTTGGATTTAACTGTTAAGCTGTTAAGTATATATAATACTGTGTAAGTGTGTGTGTGTGTGTAAGAACGTGTGAAAGAGAGAGTTGTGCGTATGGGAGTATGCATGCGTGTTTATGAGAGTGTGCATGCTATATGTCTGTGCGTATGTGTACATGTGCACGGTAATTTCATTTCAAGATATCGTCAAGATAATACAACACGGTTCAACACACAAAATAGCTGGCTGCTCAAATTGTACTGTGGGCAGCGTCTCATCGCCATCCTCAGGGTGAGACTTTTAGAATTATTGACCGTGGGGTACGGGGGGGGGGGGGGAGTCTGCGACTACTTCACATACATAACCTACACACATTCCATCGTGAATGTGGTGTCCAGCCTTCGTTAGGCGGACATAACATCATTACGTGTGTCAGGAGCGAATATTGCTGACCCAAGCGCTAAAGTGGTGATAGATGCGCAGCCTCAGAAGACAATCTTTCAAAGTCTCATTTAGTCATACTTAGAGCCTAGTTTAGTCATACATTTAGTCATACAAAGAAACACATTAAATCATTGAAAGTGATTCATTTAGTCACTCAAAGAGCCGCATTTAGTCATACAAAGAGCCACATTTAGTCATACAAAAGAGCCACATTTAGTCATACAAAGAGTCGCATTTAGTCATACAAAGAGCCGCATTTAGTCATACAAAGAGCCACAGTGAGTCAATCAAAGAGCCACATTTAGTCAAAGAGCCACATTTAGTCAAAGAGCCACATTTAGTCATACAAAGAGCCACATTTTAGTCATACAAAGAGCCACAGCGAGTCAATCAAAGAGCCACATTTAGTCAAAGAGCCACATTTAGTCAAAGAGCCACATTTAGTCATACAAAGAGCCTCATTTAGTCATATGAAGGGCCGCATTTAGTCATACAAAGAGCCACATTTAGTCATACAAAGAGCCACATTTAGTCATACAAAGAGCCGCATTTAGTCATACAAAGAGCCACATTTAGTCATACAAAGAGCCACATTTAGTCATACAAAGAGTCGCATTTAGTCATACAAAGAGCCACATTTAGTCATACAAAGAGCCACAGTGAGTCAATCAAAGAGCCACATTTAGTCAAAGAGCCACATTTAGTCAAAGAGCCACATTTAGTCATACAAAGAGCCACATTTAGTCATACAAAGAGCCACAGCGAGTCAATCAAAGAGCCACATTTAGTCAAAGAGCCCCATTTAGTCATACAGAGAGCCACATTTAGTCATACAAAGGGCCACATTTAGTCACACAAAAGGGCCACATTTGGTCATACAAAGAGCCAAAGAGCCTCATGTGGCTCCTGCGCTACAGATCCCAGATTTCTTGGTTCAGAGTTTGGCTTATTGATGTACACAGTTAAAATTTTTGTCGGGAATTTTGTCTTCGCCATTCAGTGAAGACCTGGTTCAGCTTGCAGGCTAGATCTTGGTACTAATTTATCGTCTTCTACCACTAGCCCCCCCCCCCCCCCCCCACACACACACCTATAACCGACAAATTCGTCACAAAAAGAAATTATTTGATTTAGGTCCTGACGCAAATATGGAGTCAGAAATTTGTATTTAATTGAGTTGTTGTTTTTCTTTCAAGATCTGTATCTTATAATGTGTAAATTGGTCGTATGATTCATACTGCAAATGTTTACTTGAAAACAAACGAGCCAGGAAATTCACCCTCGAGATGGCATTGTGTAGAATGTAGACCTATTTTTAAACTGCTAATACCTCAAGGATAAATGGTTGAGTTAAGGCGTCCAGTCACGCACGCTCATCCGGGTCACGTGATGTTAGAAGCAGGTGATCTGGTGACATCAGACGCACAGATGAGGTGGGATTTACGGTGGTGTATGGGGGGGGGGGGGGGGAAGAGTTTGGTCAGGTCATGAGGTGGGATTTACGCTGGTGTATTGTGTGTGTGTGTGGGGGGGGGGGAGTTTGGTCAGGTCATGAGGTAGGATTTACGGTGGTGTATTGGGGGGGGGGGGGAGAGTTTGGTCAGGTCATTGGAGAGAGGGGATCAATATGTGTATTGGGGAGGGGGGATAACTATGTGTATTGGGGAGGGGGAGAGAATGTGTTTAACAGAGGATGTACTGTGTAACTAAAAGCCAGAGGTGTTAAGGTTTTAGGGGAGGGGATGCCATGAAGGAGTAGGGGCGCGTGTTCATTAAAGTACAAGCAGTAATAAGATGAGCAGGATATGCTGGGAATCGCCAGGATGGTTTGGTGGGGTGTAGGGTTGGGTTGGGTTGTGAAGGTGTTGTGTTTGTCGGTGATGGTTGGGGTAAGGGCTAAACTGATTGCTCAGCGGTACGGTTATGTTAAAGGGTTAAACTCAGAGAAACCGTTTGAATTACAGTGGTACGTCTAACCCCCAAAAGGAACATAACATTTTCAGCAGTATAACAAGCTCACCTCAAGGAGACCGTATTTACATTTTGATTATGGTGGTACGTCTTAACCCCAAAAATGACCATACGATTTTCACAATATTGTATATTTACGAATTAACCCAGAGAAGCCGCACTAGAATTTTTTTTATTATAGTGGTACGTCTAACCTAATTGAGCTAACCATTTGTGTTAAAACTTTGTACTTGTGTGTACCAGGTGTACCAGAACAGGTGAAGGAAATGGCCAGAGAACACAACCCGGAAGTAGAGATATCAAAGTCTGGCAGCGATTGGACCATCACGACTACCGTGGGAGAGAAGGTCATTCTATGTTGTTATTATACGCTTTTGTATAGTTTGTTGGTGTCTGTTTTTATACGTTTTTGTGTAATTTGATGTCTGTTTTTATAAGCTTTTGTTTAGTTTGTTATGTATGTTTTCATACGCTTTGGTTTAGTTTGTTATGTCTGTTTTTATATGCTTTTGTTTAGTTTGTTATCTGTTTTTATACGCTTTTGTGTAGTTTGTTATGTCTGTTTTTATACCCTTTTGTTTAGTTTGTTATGTCTGTTATTATACGCTTTTGTTTAGTTTGTTATGTCTGTTATTATACGCTTTTGTTTAGTTTGTTATGTCTGTTATTATACGCAAGTTTGTTTTTGTTTTCTTATTTTCAGCGCATTCAAAAGCTTATTATTACAAAGGTTTTTAATTTTTGTCTTTCTTTTTTCAATTTTTATATTAACTTCCTCCTACACATGTTAATTCTGTTGCTTAATATTACTTATAGCTTATTTTTGTCTAGCTGCAATAGTCACTGTATGGTGTGATTTAATCAGTAGATTATTATATGTATAGTTAGCATAGTAATGTAATATCGTTTATTAAAGAAGACAGAATGTGTTTGAATCCAAGTCATTCTAAGATTGTTCGCCTTAAATCATTGGTTCTTCCTTGAGCCCACTCAGCTTTAATAGGTACCCAGCATCAAGAGAAAAAAAAGTGGGGTTGTGGACTAGATCCTACAAACATTGGGCACACTTAACCAACTTTTGACAAAGCTAAAAAAAACACAACTCGGGGGAAAAGCTAGTAATGTTAGGGAAATGTAGCACACATTATTATATAGAAGCCAAATAGAATTTGCTTTTGTCTGCTTTGACAGTAAATATAGCGCGTTACGACGTCCTCCCCCCCCCCCACCCCCTTCCCCAACACACGCCAACTCACAATGGTGTCTCCAATAAGTGGGACAAAATAAAAAGGTCTTAAAACCCCTCCCGTAGCCGAATGTTGACATTTATTGGATGAACTTTGACCTTAGCAGCTGGCGGCGTAGCTTCATACTTAACCCCCGGGGACGGACTTTGGACTTAATCAACACCCCTCATCCCCCCCCCCCCCCCTCCGCTCCTTTTAATATAAACTTTTTAAATAGAAAAAGTAACAGTTGTGAAAAAACGGAACCCCCACCCTAGCTATACATAAAAAGTTTGATAGATTCCCCTGCATATATTGTCTATACACCATAGAGCATTAGCCTTTATGGCGCTCTGTATACATTGTGTGTAGGTCTATTATCCTATCTATACACCACACAGCATTAGCATAACTGTTCCTCTGCTCACATTGTACACTGTTATGTGTAGGCCTATACACAATACACCATTAGCAATACTGTCCGCTGCATGCAGTCAGTGTTATGTGTAGGCCTATTATTATTATCCATACACAACACAATATTAGCATAACTGTTGTATCTTGCCTACATAGTCCAGTGTGTCAACCATACACCATTATCATCGTGTGTTATATGTAATGTAGAATTATACATAACACACATTCGTTATTGTCTTATTTTTATGTTATAGACTCTATAATTATCTGTTTCCTTTGTATTCAAAGGTTTTAGACATTGCACCATTTTGATATGCGTTAACATAGCAAAAACAAATATTTTAAATTTAACGATTTTTGCCTGCATTTAACAATTTTTAGGTAATTGTAACGAAATATCCAGAGAACGAAGAAATTGAGGCAATGCACATGATGGGGAAAACCCATGAAGGTATGTTAATTCACTGTAAATAAAAACAAATCTACCAATACTACTCTGACGAATTAATTAACTCCGGTTGCCGACCAGACAGTTCACTCCCTTTTAAAACCTTTTTCCCAAGGGGAAAAAAAAATCAAGCGTTGTCTCCCCTTAACTGTGGTGAACTGGTTGGTAGGACCATCATTAGAGGGCGTTGTCCACATTCGTCTGGGCAGCACCTGCTATATATTAGTTAACAGATCTTGTTGTAAGTTATTGTAGCTAGCAGTAATAGGTATACCTTACAAAAATTTAATAGTAGTTGGTCTACTCTATGAAATGTAAAGGTCTGTAGTATAAATTCTGAAGAAAAAGAGTTTATGTAAAGACATTTAGTTAATTTAAAGTAGAGTTGATCTCTGAATTTGGAACCTAACATGCTTAAATTAAATATTTTAAGCCCGGGCAATAATCAGTTGGTGCGCATGTATTTGAATATGAACATTTACATATAACAATTTATTGTTTTGTTTTAATTAAGTTCATGTTTTTGTTGCAACCATTTATTGTTTCGTTTTATTTTTAGTAAGTTCATGTTTTTGTTGCAACCATTTATTGTTTCGTTTTATTTTTAATAAGTTCATGTTTTTGTTGCAACCATTTATTGTTTTGTTTTATTTTTAATAAGTTCATGTTTTTGTTGCAACCATTTATTGTTTCGTTTTATTTTTAAATAAGTTCATGTTTTTGTTGCAACCATTTATTGTTTCGTTTTATTTTTGATAAGTTCATATTTTTGTTGCTCAGGCTACCCTCAAGTCTACACCCACGGGCCTAATAGAAATTGAAAAAGTTGGAGACATTGAGATAACAGTAGAAAGATTTATAGAAGATGGCTTTTACATAGTGGTAAGAACGTTTGAGATTACACTACAAATATTTCGTGAAGATGGCTTTTACTCTTTTAAGAGACTAAAGAACAATAACATTTGCATGCAAAGACTTGTTTAAAAGGGTAACAGTCTGATGGTAATGTTCCTCATTAATGTTGCAACTAACATTTTTTGAACTGTTTATTACAGAAAACAAGAACAAAAGGAGTTGAAGCTAGGATCAAGTTCTCTAAGATTTGAATCTCACAGATGTGAATCCTATATCTCCATAATATTGACATTGATTTACATGTGATTCTTATATCTCCTTAAAATTGACATAACGTGAATCAAATTGCTACAAAACTGACATTGATATGCCATATTGTGAATGTTTTCAATTTCAAACATTGAGAATTTATTTTGTGTTGTTCTTTGTTGTCGATTGTCCCACTGTATTCAATATAAATAAATATTTAAAACAATTGAAAAGTTTTGATTAAAAAATGTATTTGATAGAATGTATGGCCTTGTGCCTGTGTTAATGTTGTTTGCATCACCTAGCTACACCACCAGGTGAGGGCTAGTCTAACATGGGGCACTCAATGTAAGTAATTAAGAAACTGTACCAAAAAACTCTTGGTACAATACTTGAAGGCTGACGGCACCGCATAGTGTCACTCATGTATCCCCATGTAGAAAATTGATCCAGGATTAAGAACTGTAGTTGGAGGCCATTATTTCTGCAAATAATTCTTGCATACATAGAACCATTAAAAGATTTTCCACCTGGTATTTTTTTATTTATAATCCATGTATTGTCGCTAAACAGGACGCCTCAAGGAAAAATAAAAAGGAAGGCCAAGGTAGTTGTGGAATCACACAGCAAAAAAAAAAACAACTGACAAAATTGACAGAGACCGGCACAAAATGGAAAATATGATCATTGAATGCAGATATTTAACAAAATAAACATTTGTTATCGTACAAAACTGTTGAATGGCTTGTGAAGTTATACATTTCAAATATTTAGAACTTTGAATAAAATAAAAAAGTTCTCTCCCTAGAGGTCTTTATTCCTCCTATAGTATTTGTAAATCATATCAACCAGCCCTCAAAGTCTATTAAATAATACCAGAATATGGTGGTAATGATTTGAGTATTAGTTGATTCACTGACAAGATAATTACATTAAACTTCACTTGAGTACTAATAAAGCTACATATTTCCTTAGTACTTCCAGAAGGAAATAAGAGAGATAATGCTAATAAAAAGCAGATGGTATAAAAAGTTGCTTCCCCTGAAATTTGCACAAAACATTAGGTAAATAGAAACATTTTTCCTTACAAAAGATTCATGTTTAATAAATAATCATTTTTATCAAAAATACATGAATATATCTATGATGAAAGTGATGATAAATATAAATACAAATATAACTAAATTGAACTTAATATTTCAACTATACAAATGAAAATATCAAAGATATTTATCAAGGATATGTATTATTAAGCAGCCTAGCTCACACTTAAAACGCTATTTCAGATACCAACATTTCAGATACATACACATTAACTGTTACATGTAATCAGTGAAAATAAAATAATTCAATAATAATCAACTGTAATTAACATATAAACCTGATTTTTTGGGGTAATTTGATGGTTATGAAAGAATAAAACACACAAAAAAATTTTTTTAATTTAAGCAACAAATTACAACATAACAAGTAATTTAAAATAACATTTTTAAAAAATTATGAATTTTTCTTGAAGAACTTTGGTTAATGATGGATAATAATTACAACAATAATTTATAGATTTAGTACAAGTCCTGACTCATAGTGCTTACAGTCAATTATTTAAATATCTTTTATTTTAAAATTGCAGAATGTTTTATAATGTTTCATTAGCAAGGCTAAACACTCTACTTTGTATTTCACAATACAAATTTATAGGGGGAGGGGTTTAAGAGATAAGTGACTTGTTTAAATACTTTTTGAAGAAATGTTTACAAAAATATATTACAGCTTATGGTAACAGCTGGTAAACATTGTAGAAACTTCAGCACAATTAAAAGTGATTTACTGCCCTAAGGATGTTAAGTTGTGATGGAAAAAAAATGAATATAAATGGTATAGTTATCCCAGTAGTTCCACATTTTACGCTGTAGATGCCACTTAACCAATAGATTTTATAAAAGTCTGACTGGCTGTGTCAATTATTTGTTGTTTTTTTTTCTATTTTCACCTACTGCAGTTTTAAACTTTATAAATAGGTGAGTTATACTTTTTATGGTTTTGATGACATCATCTCTATAAATTTCTTCAAGCATCTTTTTATGGTCATATCCACTATATGACCCCCCCCCTCCCCAAAGTACAAAAAATATATTTATTACCAGGTGTTGTCGCCCCCCCCCCCCCCCCCCCGAGAAAAATCACAGAAATAACCACTACTCTGTGTAATGGTAACTGTGACAGTTCCTATTGTGTGAGTGATGTCCCTTGCCAGGAGACTAAGAAAACACCCATGACAACAGTGCACACATGTGTTAGCACATCAGCAAAACTTGAGACCCACTGGAAATACAATCCCAAAACTTGAGACCCACCCTGATACACACAGGAAATACAATCCCAAAACTTGACATCCAAGGGAAACAATGCAGGCTGTAAGCAGGGCAGCTGAGTCAATGGCAAGCACTGCAGGACTATGTAAATGGGAGATAACACAATTTTTTCACTCAACATAATCAAAATCTGAAGGTATCCCAAACTGTTGATTTATGACACTCTCCTCAAAAGAAAATTTGTTTTTTATCCATGACTTTGTGGAGAAAATATTGTCTGAAAATTACAAATAAAAAATGTGTTTTAAAGTTCAAAAATATATGTAAATTATTGTAAATATAATCTAAACAATGGGATGGTGATGCTAAACTGGTATAGCTTAACTGCTGTAAGTTTCGAGTTTGGATCCTTGCTCCAATCTGAAGAACTTCCCTGAGTTCACCCAAGTCAGATGGGTACCTGACTTACGTGTCTTGGGCACAAACAGGAAAAGATGATACAACATTGTTGATGTTGCCTTAAAATCTACTCAATTTATCATTATAAGTATACAACAAGTTCCACAGCATAAGAAACCAGGTAATCTGGTACACCAAACGATACCTGTCCATCTGTTTGCAGCTTCCCTGGCTTGCTCTGTCTCCAGCTTCATCTGCTCTAGGACCTCAGGATCACATTCCTTGTACTTCTCCAGTTCCTCCAGGATCTGTTTCTTCTCCTGCTGGCGTTTGCTCAGCTCCTCTAGGACTTCTTCTCTCTCATCCTGAAAAGTTGCGTAATTGGCTTTTTAATCATTTCTTCTTCTTCGTTCTTAACTGTAATCTAGGGAGAGTTTTTTTAGCAACGCCTTTTGTGTCATACTGCCTGTTGACTTAAATTTCAGCCTGCTTTTCTATTTGGATTTGCTTCCATAGCCTTTATCTATCCGAGAACAAACTACAAGGCAGCAATTGTTTGATTTCGGAGTTATCTCTCCTAGATAGGTTGCTGTGCCTAGCTATTGAGCCTCATTAGCCCGGGTGTTTGAACTTGGGACTTTTTGGTTTTAAATCATTTTGATTCCTACAGTTACACAAGAAGTTTAACTCTTTAAGCCCGTAATTATTTTCACGTTTTACCGGAATTATTTTTTTTCCCTCATTTTTTTTCAGTACCCGTGCGGCTAAATGACCCATATCTTTTTACCCGTTAATTTAAACCCCACACATGATTGATAAAAATTAATCGTAATTGAATACCCTACACACTGATATACATTTTAAGGAATTATTTATTTACTGAAGAAAGATAATTACTTAGTTTTAAAGAAGAAAAAATAAAGAGTTGTTTTTTTCGTGCAAAAATTACGCTTCTGTCAGGAAAATTAATAATAAGAATAACTTTTCATGAGTTCTTATTTATAGAAAACGAAAGTACGTCCATTTATCTACAAAAATCATGGATCGGATTAGTCTTAGTATAAATACTTTAATTTTTGTTAATTTTATAATGCGCCGACGTAAACGTTTAGACGCGGCCGCTGAACGGCATTCCGCAGTGTTAAAAAATGCCGTTTTTCGAGTTGGTTTACAAAAAAAAATTCTATAAAATACAAAATTGATCTAACGAGAAAACTACAACAAGTAAATACAACGAAAAATGGCCGCTCTAGCGTTATCATGACCTAGATTTACGATTAAAAACTTGGATTCCGAAAAACAACGAATTAAATAGAGAAAATTTTATCGGACGCTGGGAGCATCGTTACGGTATGGCAGGCCGGCAGACCGACCGCTGGGAGCGTCGTTACTGTCTTAAAGAGTTAAGATACTAATCCATAAAATAAAACTTACACTGGAATTATGACCTTCTAAGTCTTGCATGGAATAAATTGTACCGCCCCCAAATATCTCTTAGTTACTACACCAGTACTGGTGCCAGAGAAAAATTTTCAGTTAGGAACCAATCTCCCCATCCTTATTAGTGCTTACTGTGTCTTCTTTTCCTTCCTTTGATTTTTCTACAGTGGCAACCAGCTGCTGTTTCTTGGCCTCCAGCTCTTTCAATTTGTTTTCTAACTCGTCCAGCTTTCTTTTTCTCTGAAAACAGTTGTGATCAAGAAAAGCAACTTATAGAAAATTTGGAGATTTTTAGTTGTATCTATATATATAATTCTCTTCTGGGAGATGCTAGAAAACAAGCTGTAAACGCGCTCCCTACCACCCCCACCCCAAGCAGAGCAGGGTTTAGTGACGACTATTAGGGGCAGATAATTTAGTTTGAAACGATTTTAAACGTAAGGGGGGGGGGGGGGGGGGGGAACTAGGTTGAGTTTACTTTAACGGAGGGGGGAAAGGAGGGGGGTATCGTTCTTAATGAGCTAATTATAGTGTTTTAAAGAAATATTTTCAGTGGCAGCGTTGGTAGTGTTGAATTCACAAGTTATGAATTACTGAAAAGTAGAAAAAACAACAACTAAATAGCGGCTTATGATATGCCGCGGGTCGGCTCGTTTGTTTTAATTTAGCTATGCAGAAATGCTAGTAAATTACTATGATTAAGCTGTTATATTTTATGTTTTATTTAACGAGAAAAGAAATTTATTAATGATTAACATCTTAATGAAAAAAATGTTTCACAAACTTTACTTTTTCTAACATTTACTATAATAAAAAAATGTCACTTATATTTACTACATATTAGTGATTTCAATAAAAACTTCATGCGTAATGAAAAATTAAATACATTTTGGCTGGCTTTGCTTGGAAATGCCCAGAAGTAAATAGAAGTTCCAATTTTATCCGAGTCCACAATGCCATCGTCCACAAGGCTCTGTACCACGTCCTTCACTGACATGGCAGTGATCCCCTTCTCTTTTGGACACAGTTTTTCCAAGTCTTTTAGCTGAAAAAAATCCTTCTGGAAGGTAAAGGAAAAAAATTATATTTTTAATTTTCAAGTGGTTACTAATAAAAACAAATCTTATGTTCTGCTTTTAACACTGGCATGTCCATCGGTATTAAGGGGATGTTTATTCTGGCAGTATCACTGTTAAGATCATGAGATTTTTAGTGGGAAAGTCAGGGCTTGTGCTAGAGTTTGGATATGATGGCTCAGAATAGTTAGCAATCAGCTTTATTTGTTGTCCGTTAAATCAAAGTGTAGTTAGTGTAGGAATTGCAGTTTTTGTTTTGTGGGGGGGGGGGGGGGAGAAGAAATAGCTGAGATTTGAACTCAAACAAATGTGGATGGAGTAAACTTGAAGGCCTACACAAATGAACAAAAATCAGAGAGAAATAATTAAAAACTGACCAGTGTAAAATAAAAGAAATTGAAAAAAAATTACCTTTTCATAAAAGAATTCAGTCATTCGTGACCTCTTTTCATCAGCACTCAGACCTTTTTTCTTAGACTAAAAGAAAAAAAAATGTTAAATAAACGGGGAGAAGACATAGATCTAGAATAAAAGTACAAGGATAGACTTAGCCAGTCAATAATTTCATTATGATTAGGGCCTATTATTATGACAATCATTCTAAGTCAAGTCTAGTGAGCTTGTCTAGTTACTACAAAACATCACAGTCTCACTGTTTTACTACTTAGATCTAGATCTAGATCCTGGTACTAGGTACTTAGATCTACTACTACTACTAGATCTAGATTCTAGCTAGATCTAGATTTAACTAGATCAAGATCTATACTTATTAGTACTTATTACTTATACTTAGTAGGCTATTAGACTATAGTAAAAATAGTATAGTAGTATAGTGAGTAGGCCTATCTAGTATCTATCTATAGACTCTAGAGTATAATAGACTATACTATAGGCTCTATTGATTCTATAATCTCTAAAAATGAATCTCTATCTTGACTAAGACCTGCCTAAGACAAGACGAGGATCTAGTGACTAGTCGATCTAGATCTAGATCTACTGTTACTAGATCTAGCCTAGATCTAGATTCTAGCTGTATTAGTTGTTAGTCTCACTCAAGTCTCATCTCAACTTCTTAATCTCAAGTTATTTTTAATTTTTTTATTAGTTTAAAATTTAAAATATAGGCCTAAGTTAGTCTGTTAGTCAGTGTTAGTGTTAGTCACTAAAAAAGTCTACAGTCAGATTTAGACTTAGAATAGGCATTTCGACTTCCGCTGTTTCGATTCGGTACGACCGCATCCTGACTTTTTCATCGTACTTGTTGAAATTCGCCATTTTTTAACATGTTAATTCTCGCCATCGGAATCGAAAAATAAAATGTATTCGATGTGAATATTTGAGTTGAATTTCATCTTTTATACATACTAATAAATGAATTAGCTCCCGTTTTACATTGCCCGATACCGAAAGCGATCACCGATAATAGCAAATATTTGTCGAAATGCCGACGCTACCGAACTGGCGCATTGACAACTAAATTTCACATATAAATAATCCTTTAAGTTGCATGAAAATAGGCTTAAATAGCATGCCAACCATTTGGATAAATAGAAATGTCGATTTGAAGGGTTTTTAAGCACGGGCCAATGAGGAGTAGCGCGATAAAACTCGTAGGGGTAGGAACGAGAAAGCGTGCGTAATTTCATAATGGCGGCCGGGTTACGAGATATTAATAGATATGCGCATACGATGTTTTTTAATAGCTGTTTGTTTTTAAATGGACTGTTACAATAAAATGGGCTTTAAAATAAATATACTGTAGATCTAAATTATTAGATTAAAAATGGAAAGAATGTAATTAGGCCTAATTGCTGCCTAAATAAATTATAAAATTTTAAATTAGCCAGATTTTTATTAACCTTCTTAATACCAGGTTAACTAGATCTAGCAAACTAGCATTAACGAATTGCAGATAAATAGATTATAAAGGCATTTTCAAGTAGAAAAAATCTATATTTATTGTAAACAGTTTTAAAAAAATAGAATCTAGATCTAGATCTAAATGGAAATGAAAACACTAAAACAATAATGGGTCTAGAGATGTGTAATAATATATATATATATATATATATATATATATATATATATATATATATATATATATATATATATATATATATATATATAACTATTAGGCCTTAATGTAAATACTGACAGGCCTATCTGTAGTATCTGGATCTATAATTTACTATAAAGGGCCTAAATTAAAAATAATAATGCCCAATTTTATAAGCTGCACTGCATTACAGTTTTAGTTATAGGCAACTATAATAGAAAGAAAACATGAACACTTTAATTAATGTCATTTAAGAATTTATCAAAGGATACGTCAACTTCACTAAACATTTTATAAATAAGAATACTGTGAAATGTCAATCTTTGAGTTTTAGCACACCTCAACACTTTTCATCAGAAACATTACAAGAACCAAAATTTTCTAAATTAATAATAACATTTTTACCATGTTATACACGGACACAAATCCAATGTTTATGGCAAATCGTTAAGTATCTTGATCATATTGTGCTGTATTTGACTTGTAAGTTCTAACTCTATACATTACCTGTACAATATGTATACTAGCATTCTTATTACTAACACCAGAATCAATATGTAAAGTTTAATCTTTATTTTTATAGTAGCAACAAAGAAGTGCAACATATTAGCCTGTAGTTAATCATCATAGTCTAATTGCGCTGTACCATATTCAAGTTCACTATTTATAGTTTTCCTCTAGCTATGTTTATTTTACTTGCATGATTGTATTTTTTACATGCTCTAGTCCTAATATATAAAGTTTCATGATGGTATATGGAATAGCAACCTAGCTGTGCAGTCTGGAAATCCTCTTATGGCAGTCACTATAGAACAGTGCCACACCCCTTAATTTAACTTCATTATTTCTAGTTACCTCTTTTCTGATTTTTATTTTATTTGTAGACTTCTATTGCCTATATCATTGAGTACAAATGTGCAAAGTTTTATCATTATATCTTGAATAGCAACATTGGTATGCAAGTTTAAAGCCAATCACACGTCGGGAATGCAGGTTACAATGAAACATAACAAGTTAAACACATAACTTTGAAAATTCATATAAAAAAAACTATTAGGCCTAGAATGATAAATTTGATATTTTTATCAATGGGGTATATTATAGGATTAATCTGGGCCCATTTTATCATTCTATGATGATTAGGAAAAATTTCCCAATAGGCCTAGACTTAGAATAATTAATTAGATTTGTAGGTTAGATCATTAGTAATTTACTAGATTCTAATTTAATTATTAGTAATATTATTATTAGTAGATCTAGTATTAGTATTCTAGACTAGAATCTAAATCTAAGATCTAGATTCTAGATCTAGATCTAGATTTCTAGATCTAGGACTAGATCTAGAATCTAGACACTACTAGAGTACTAGAGTCTAACCATTATTTTTTGCCGAATCCACCGCAAAATAGCAGACACGATCTAGATCTAAAAATAGATCTAGATTCTATCTAGTTATTTAGATTATACTTGATTATAGATAGATCTAGATTTCTAGATCTAGTTGTAGTGTAGTGACTTTCAAAACAAAATAATTTTCTATGCACAAACAGCTGTGTGCAATAGGAAATCAAAATTCCCGCTGGAATGGAAAAGAACCAAAACAAATATGGATTTGCTGGCCATGTATTTTTTAGCATTTTACTAGGTCTAAGGCCTAGAATCTAGATCTAAATCTAGATCTAGATTCTATTTTATTTTTAAGAGATACTCGAAAATTTGAAAGCAATGAATTAGATTATAAGCAATACTTTTCTAATATTTTTATTCACTTTTCGATGCAATACAAATGGTTTTTTTTAAATTTTGAATAGGCATCCTTATACGCAATACACTACTGACTACTGATAGCCTGTTTGATGTGATTTACCGCTCAGAATATTGCAACATATTTATAGATCGAGATCTGCATCTAGATTCTTTTCTTTTAGACAATACTCTCGGGGGGGGGGGGGGGGGGGGGGGACGGAAAATGACTGCCCCCCACATAGATGGTAAAAAGAAATGTGTCCACTTCCCAGGCCCCCAACTTGTGACGTCATTGTTATTTTTTTTTTACTTCTACGAGAATCCTGATTCGAAAACAAATGATGGGTCGAATTTGTACTACTGTTATGGACAGTTATGGTGCGATCCGATACCTTTAGTGTTTTGGATTTTCCAGGCATCTATTCGGGAGGGGGGGGGGGGAGCCTCCCCCGAAAAAAAGTCTACAGACCACCCCCCCCCCCCCAGAACGAAAATGAATGTATATAGAAAATATATACTTTTAACAGTGTCCGCCCCCACTCCCCCCCCCCCCCTCCCGGAAATTTTGTGTCCCTCCCCCCTCCCCTATTTTTTTTACATATATCCCCCCCTCCCCCGGAGAAAAAAGTCTGGAAGAAACACTGCGTGACATGACATCAAACCTTGAATAATAGTAAATGTGTGTGTGTGTGTGTGTGTGTGTGGTGATAATATCAAATCAATCAAACGTAAAAATTGTCATAGCATTGTTAATTTTTAAAATGCACATGTGCAGTAGCAACCAACAAACTCTATAGGTTTTTTTTTTACTTCACTCGCGTTGTCGTGAGCAGCGTCATGCTAAGTAAGTCGTTACAAGCTCGCGTGCGACTTCAAAAAAAAATCTACTCCACCAACTGTTGCGTTTTTCATTAGCGAGTTGCGTTAGCCTCAGTAGGTGCGACAGGATGGCTGGCTTTAAGGAGACGGTGAGTAGCGTATTTCTTGCTTTATTTACCAGATAATCTGCTCCGTGTAACACTCTGGCTAGTAAACAAGCATTCCTGATTTGTTTTGTTTGTTTTTTTGGTCATGATTTTTGTTTTGTTAATTATTCGGTGCAGTTTGAGTAAAGGTGTAGAATTAAATTATTTTTAATTTTAGAAAACGTTGAGTGTGTAATACCTTCTCTTCATAGAGCACTAGGCTTACAGCAGTTTGGCGTCGTTTAGAGTACTACGTATACATAAGCTATGCGAAGGGAAAGCTCTTTTTTGTGAACACCGATTTAGAGAAAGGAATACATAATATTAATAATAATATGTAGGCATATAACAATGCAAAAATAGGTTGCGAAAACCTTAGAAAACAGTAATATTAAAAGAAGCGAAACAAACACTGTACAAGGCCCATTATTTATCGACCTGTAAAGTCTCGCTAACCTACTTCTTTATTTACCTAAGTAAGTAAGAGTCATTAAAAAAAAAATTTCGATAGAGGAGACTGGCCTTAATTTGTTGAATGTCCTAATTATTGGATACAGGTGTCTGCCCTTTGCTTAGGTCAGGGATTTTAGCGTCAGGTCAGGGGTCATGCACTAATCTGATATAACACAAAGGGGGAGGGGGTGTCCATGTGATATAGTGAAATCACTGAGAGCAGTGTAATATAGGGGTCATCCATAAATGACGTCACGCTTTTTTGACGATTTTACCTCCCACCCCTCCCCTCCGTCACACATCGTCACAAAAGCCAGACCCCCCCCCTAAAATGACGTCACATCTCAGCCTACAACCCCCCCCCCCCCCCTCAAAATTGCAGTTGAATTTTTCTTAAAACATCGATATTTTTCCAAAATCTTGTCTGAACTCTGTCAACATAGAGTATTTTTATCAATTCCTATTACAGTTTATTCAAATAGTTTTCTAAAACGCGAAATAACAACTAAAGTTAGTTTTCTAACATTTCTTTTTTATAATGCAAAAGTGTGACGTCCCACCAACTGTACGCCCCCTCCCCCTCATCACAGACCGTCACAAAAGTACGGACTCCCCCCCCCCTACGAGTGTGACGTCATTTATGGACGACCCTATAGCACTTTTTATTTTCTAGTGTACAGAGTATAAATGAAGTATTGTAATCGTGCACACAAATAAAATGATTTATTTATTTTAACAGTTTTCATCGTTTTTTAACTTAGTACTTTATCGAATACGGAATATTATGAAAGATGTATTTTACGCGTGAAGAAATCTAGATTAAAATTTTGACAACTTGTGACGCATTACAATCTCCCATTGTCGAAAAAATTTAGTTTTGCCATCCTGTTTATCTGTGTGTATGTCTATAAATACGATAACTTGAATACCGTTTTAGTTATGTTGACCAAATTTTGTATCTAAGTATTATATTCATTTTTAGTTCTGTAACAACTTTTGAGCGATTTCCGGTTACCGGAAGTAATACGTAGTCTACTTCCGGCCTCTCAAAAGTCGGCGTGGTCGAGTCGGTAAAGCTCATGGTTGTTAAACCGAAAAGTCTCGAGTTCGAACCCTCGGGCAGATGAGGCTCGCTAGCTGGGGACAGCCACTCTTCTAGGAGAGACAACTCCAAAATTAAACAACTGCTGCCTTGTAGTTTGTTCTTGGTTGGACAAAGGCTATGGAAGCAAATCCAAAAAGAAAAGCAGGCTGAAATCGGAGTCAATGGCCTTAATGGCGCATAACCAGTTGACACGTAACGCTTAATTGTGTTGGAGGCGTGGTCGAGTCGGCAAAAAGCTCATGGTTGAACAAAGTCTCAAGTTCAAACCCACTGGCAGATAAATCTCGATCCCCTTCAACACTAATAATTAAGAACGAAGAAGAAGAAGAAGAAAAAAAGCTGATATCTTGAATACCATTAAAAATAGGCAGACAAAATTTCACATACAAGTATTAGATTGTATTCGCAGGTTTCTTTCTCTCAACTTTTGAACGATTTTCGTTAACCGCAAGTGGTACTTAACTTTATTTCTATAAGAACAGGATGACTTTCGTACTGCTTCAGTTAGGTAGACAAAATTTCATATTTAAGTAAAAGATGTTATACTGGGATCACTTTCAATTTTTTGTTGCTTTCCATATTCCGAAAGTAGCACTATATTTTTGGTTTCTAAAAATAATAAAATATCGAATAAATTTAGAAACGTTTCAGCTAGCTGGACGAAATTTCATACATAGTTATATGATCTTATTCGCTGGTTACTGTCACATTTTGTTTGATTTCCGTTGACTGGAAGTATCAATTTACGCTATTTCCGATTGCTCATAAAAAAGTAATCAATGTTTCCTTAATAACGTACAAAATTTTATTTTTCGCTATATTATACTCACACTGCGTTCAAGTCAAATTAATAAAAAACATTTCTATAGCCCCCCCCCCCCCCCCCCCCCACACACACACACCTTTATACTAGAATACACCAGAAATTTTAGGGGAGATAACTCCGCTTTATTAAAAATATGAATACGATTTTTCTATTCCAAATTTCCGCATTGCGTGTCCTGTTTCCTGTTTATTTTTCACAATATTCACATACGCGTAATTGATAACGTTTTGTGAACTCCTTCTTCTGTAAAACAAGACAGCATGACAATGTATAGAATGGTCAATTACTTATTCATCCAAAACCCGAAGACTCACTAATTATATTGTCTTGTATGGCATAAGCTCAATTATTGGTTGTGTTCATGAAAAGTACTGTCACAATTTTCATAATTGTTTTTTTTTTCTTCTTGTGTTGTGAAAAATGAGTATTGCATTGTGCTCAAAATAACCGAACATTTTTGAATAATGTTGCGAAATACTATTGACCCGCTTCCCCCCCCCCCCCCCCCCTTCAATATAAATAAAGCTTAAGATAAACTAGTGATTTACTAATCTGATAACCTAGAATCGAATTTACTCTAAATATTTTCCTCCGTTCAGCTTAACGATGTTTATGGCTAAGCTTTCATAAACACAACGGATGTTATTTGTAGAGGATAAATTGTGTTGGCGCCGGTGAAATATTTCAGTTTATTTGGCAGTCACAACCGTAGGCATACATCACTAATTAGTAATTAAAGCTACATTTCACAAATTATAGGGTACAACAAAAGACATTTTAAAACCAACACACATCCTCTAAAAACACGATACACGTACATCATTAATTAGTAATTAAAGCTACATTTAACAAATTATAGGGTACAAAAATTACCACTCATATCCTTTAAAAACACGATACAACCTGAAAATATTATTATTTTGTTTTATTTTGAAATATATTATTTTAATAACATCATTTGAGCAGCTTTCTGTTTATAATTCTTCATTTAAAACAAACGAATGTAAATCATTAATTTACAAGATACAACAACATATTCATCAAACTATCTTTTGAAGGGCAGATTTTAAAAATATATATATATATATAAAGCCAGTCATATTTATGTATAATGGGACGGCGTGGCCTAGCTGTGGAGCGCTAGACTGCTAACCCGCTAGTTTCGAGTTCGAATCCCGGTTCAAGTTGGTGGAACTTCCCTGTGTCCACCCAACTCTGATGGGTACCTAACTCACGTTAGGAAAAGTAAAGGCGGCTGGGTATAGTGCTGACCACACTATCCCTTCATATGCCGAGGTCAAGAAACACATGAACTCCACTTCATCTGCCCAATGGAACGTTAGGTCTAAAGAGGAATCTTTATATTTATATATACCACAAACTTACCCCATATAAAAATTATTTAACAAGATGATGGATGGGGGTGGAAAATTACCGCAAACGTGGTAGGCCTATATATTAAGTACAAGATTGTTGTATCCTTAAACACGTAGTTCTAAAATTTCGAACATGTCTTTCCTATACCTAGATGTTACTTGTTGAGAGCGAAAATTATGCATTGAAGCACCTGTGCCCGTATTTCTGTGCAAAAGACGCATTTGTATAAGTTGTATGTCATATTTACATAAGTAAGCATTGTGTTAAACACGCGGTATGTATGTTTTACCATAACTTTACCCGGCATACATCAGAGACAGTGGTAGGAATACAACCGGAAATGTGGTATAGCGGGGTTGGGTAGACAAGAGGAGCCACTCTGTCCGGTAGAATTCGCTGCCACGCCATATACAATGCTAGCTCGAGATACAAATTTAATTCGTTCCGTAACTATGGTCGTATGTCAATGTGATCGCATCTCAAAGCAATTTCACCAATTGAAAACGAATTGAAATGTCATTAATTCATTCCACCCCCCCCCCCATTCCAACCCAGATGTTTTTGTAATTTGTTTTTCTATACCCTAGTTAAGTCATTTCGGTCACTTTCATTCTCTTACTCATTACACTTTTCTTACCATCCGTCCATTCATCAATCCGACCGTCCAACCGTCCATTCGTCCATCCATCCATTCATCTATCTATTTGTCGATCCATCCATCCATCCATCCACCCACACATCCATCCCTCAATGCATGTACCCGTCCAACCGTCCATTTGTCCATCCATTCATTCACCTATCTATTTGTTGATCCATCCATCTATCCACCCACACATCCATCCCCCAATGCATGTACCCGTCCAACCGTCCGTTTGTCCATTTATTTATTCACCTATCTATTTGTTGATCCATCCATCTATCCACCCACACATCCATCACTCATTGCATGCACCCGTCCATTTGTTCATCCATCCGTCCATCAACCTATCCGTCCATTGTTCCATCCGCCTAGTCGTCTACCCGTCCATCTACCCACCGTCCATCCATCCATCAGTCTACCCAACCACACGTCCACCCACCCACCTGTCCATCCATCTATAGTGGGGGCGCCAATGCGGTAACTCAGTGTGTCATCCTTACCCCTCCCCCCTCTCGCCCACTCCAACCCGCACCCAGTGGATCAAGTGATGCTTAATCGATTTCTATTGCAACTTCACAAAACATAAAACTTTCCCATAATCT